ATTCAGTCTACACCAATCAGAGGACTAGACGCATCCCACTAGTTACTAGTGTCGAATACCCACTACAGTCCTACAGGAGGTCAATCGTGAGCCCGAATAGCTCAATGGTAAAGTCTCTGACTGCAGAACTGGGTGACGCGGGTTCGAATCTCAGAAGGGACATGAGTTCCTTCAAGGCTGCAGATACGCCTTACTGTTGAGTGCCAACTAGCACGAAACCTAGGTCCAAGGCTTCCTGCCGATTGCCTCCAACCATCTCTAAGACGAAGCTTCCCTCAGACTGAATTCGTAGATTTAAATGCCGTCATAATTCCAGGGTGTAATTTCTTACATGGCGACATTAAAGTTGGATAAACTTGTTTCTCAGTCATATCCGTCACCTACAGTGCATTTTGCAAATTTTCTTGAGTCTTCACACTTTCATGAGAGCCCAATGCATACAGTATGAATGACAAAATATCGATCCTGGATAAATGCTTGAAACATAATCCCACTTTTATAACAGTGTAACACTGTTTGCTCTCGTGAATAAACTCATCTAAGCAGGAGGCAGAAGAAACTTACTACAAGAGGCTTCAAAGAAGATTTATAGATATTAAAACAAAGATCATTGAGCCATGTTTAAAATTACACAATATGCAGAATTATGCTGCTAAAGTGAATAATTTTAAAGCTTTTATTTATGGTAAATGAATGTATAAACATCTTGACTGCAAGTGTTACAAATTCCCTAGAATGATTGTACTATGCATGAATGATTGTGATTAAAGTCTACATTGTATTCTATTAGATTATGAATTTCAAATGAATAAGGTAAAAGTTAAACAGGATTGTTGCAGAAAGGCAAACGAAATTGTATCGAAGCAGATAATGAGAGGGATGACACTTCTGAGTTTTAAGTAAATTCTAGATGTACTTAGACACAGAATTAAGTGAATCTGATAAAAAACCAAAAAATAATATGGGCTAGGCAGAAATGTCTATTAATTGTTGAGGGTCAGAATTAATTAAATTAATCCCCCATCGCAACACCATCGATTGCTTATATGCCTTTTCTTGGAATGTGAATCTAATATATTCTGTACACATTAAGATTATGTCTTTGATGTAAGTGACGGGAATGGGTAAGTTTATGCCGTTGCCTGTGATGTAATCGCAAATAAAATCAACAGTTTCATGAAGGGGAAAATTGGCGAATTAATCTTCCAAAATGGCTAGTAAATCATATCGAAAATCCTAACGCGATTAATCTTAATAGAAATCCAGCATCATCCATTGCAAAACACTTATTAATGTCTGGTCACAAAATAAATATTGATGACTGTTTCACAATTATTTCACATAACTCTAATACAAGGTTATTGAAGGTGACGGAAGCACTTTGGATTAATCACATACAGCCTAAACTGTGTGTACAAAAGTCAATAGACTTCAATCTTCACCTACCCTGGACTGCATGACCTATCTTAATATGATTGGTCATTAGTATGTACTTTTGTTTTTATTTAACTGAGTAATTTTCATGAACTTTATTTTATCATTGTTATCCATGTTAGTTGTAAAGCGGTTGTAAAGAAACTACGAAATGATATCATCTCGCGAAATTTGTCTTCCTAATGCCTTATTCAAAACAGAGAATGACTGGTCTGTATTTGAATTTAAGCACAGTAAATTCTTTGATTTGATAATTTGTTGTAACAGAAGGCAGTTTTGTGTCACTGAAGTACACAAACTAATTATTTACCTAAGGGCTTAAAGAGGAAGTTAATGAAAAGAATATTTTTCGTTCTATAATCTCTGTATACGTCTATAAGTTAATCGAATTCTCGAGAAGAAATATGTTATCCGTTTTTGATGACTTTTATTATATTTATACACTTGTCCACTTCACGTAAATAATTGACAGAATAAATTCATACGGCAAGATACGTTCCATGCACTATATGCTAAAAGCTGACAATTATTTTTGTTATTTACATTGATGAAATCTCAAGTTTTATGCATAACCCATGAAATAGGATAGCTTTTTCATTTGGCTGCGTTTACAACGCTGAAAAGTATTCATTGCCCTGGTTACTTCAATATGAAGCGAGATATCTGATATTTTTCTTCAATAACATAACCGTTCGTCCTGGGGATGATCTCAACTATAAACTTCAACACCAGAAATTACATGAGTAATTTTCAAAGCGACTCAATATGAATTGACTTATGCACGCATAATGTCCCTTAGGAGGAAATGAATTACACTGACAAAATAATGACACTACAAACTGTATTTCATCTAAAGCATGTCCGATCAGTGGAAAATACGCTTTCGTCTCCTACACACTGTTGAAGCTCTAGTCGTTGAGATAGATAAACTGGAGGTATGCATGCAGAAGAGAATTATTCAACCACGTCTACTATCGTGGCGACAAACCTGTTGACTTCTACTAACTTGCTTTTCGTTTGCTTGTTCGTTCGTTTGTTTTTCCAACTCCTTATAAATCTTGTACCTCCTCACAACTCTTACACAGCTGCATATTCTCCTCTCGTTTCTATGTGTGTTCTGATTACAACTTATCTACTGAATCATTCATCGTATCACTCAACCCCAACACACTCCTATTCAACTGCATTTATGCATTGACTAGTATTAAGAACAATCACTATAACAACCCACCACTTTTGTTACTACCCTCTTCTATGGAAAAATTGAATATGAATGTGATAGTGCAACTGAAGAGAAGGATGAATTCGGCGTAGACAGTCTGAAGTAATTCTTTGAACTCCTTGTTTTGTTTCGGTTGGTTGATGTTTGGATGGAGATTATTCATGAGTGTGTGTGTGTTTTCAGTATTGTGTGATGTAGTTTTCTTCTTAGATAGGGGTTGGATGTAGTTCGTTTCTCTTTAGAAGCCTCCAGTTAGGATGTGAAATGACGGGGTGTGGAGATGTATTCACGCGTGAATGAACTGTGTTGGCGAATATTCATAAAATCGGAGTGGTCACATTGGAAGTAATAATATTAGTCATAATCATAATAATAATAATCATACTAGTGTTTCAGGAATGAAGTTCATTGTAAACTGTGATCAAGTAGAGAACCACTGGTAGATTAGGTTTCTGTATGAGGATTTCACCAATGAAACAATAATTTTGAATGCATTTATGTCTGGGTTGCATTTTTGTTTTCAGTGACTCAGTATTCTAAGAGTCGGATGATGCCATTCACCATTCATTCAATTAATGAATGGGTAGTGTTTGAAAGTGTGAAAGTGTTCTCCAGTGGTTCTTTTGTTTTCTAGGGTTTCCATCTCCCTGACATTGTGGCTGTGTGTGTGTGTGTGTGACGTCGAATGGGAATCAAGTGAGTGATGTCGTGGGTTAATTTTGTGGAATTCGATGTGATACTTGTGAGACGCTATATCAATGAAGCATCACACGTTGAGCAGACGTGATTCGTTGGTGTAATTACTTGGTTTTCAGAGAGTGTGTCTTTGATTTGAATCCTGATGCACATATTTCACTCTGGGGAGCTGGGTATTATCAAATGACATCAGATGATATGTGTGCCTTATAAGTTTTTTACATGAGAAACTTTTTCAGGAAACTGTTTCCTGAATGGAAAGCATGTTTTCTGTCTTCACTAACTGGAATCTTTGTGAGAAGTCAAGTGGTTTTCAACCGACCTATATTTATTGTTTATCTTCCACAAATTATGAAGGCGAACATGGTCGTTTGTTATTGAGTTTCACCGTTCATTTTGAAATGCCTAAAATTATGTATTTGTTTATTTTGGAATAACTTTGTTAAAAATAGCTACCCACATATTTTGTAACATCCGTGTATCTTTTTAAAAACAAGGTATATTTTCGTGTTTTTGTTGTAGGATGATTCTGCAAAGGCGGAAAACTCGTTAAACATATTTAAGTGAGCCTCTGTGAGTAACAGGCTTCTTAATAATTACTGTAATATGTGAAGTTTTGTACACATCTGATCATATCTATTCATATTATCCACTCTATTTATGTCCGTTAAACTGAACAGTTTTAAATACTGTGTTGGCATACTTTTAAAACGTCGCGGTAAATCCTGCTGAAATTTTCTACCAAATCTATTATGTGAATAACTGGTTTGATGATGTTAAGTAAGGAGTTATGGATCACTCATTCGCACAACACTTCATGACTTCAGTAAAAATCGGTGACCCAGTTAACAGCTAGTTCTCATAATTCAACTAACACCGCACTCAGTGACCTATCAATTGGAGATCCCCTATTTCGAATGCTGCGGTAGTCCAGATTTGCATTCTATTTCCAATCATTGCCAGTTGTATTTGTATCAATCTGTTAAACCATTATCACTTCAGATGGACTCTGCAATGTCTGCATTGTGATTCTGTCGGAATCCTTGGTCAAAGTGTTCTAGGACTATAAAAATAATTATGGTTTGGTGACTTTTGAAATTCATATTTCTTGGGAAATGCACATTTAAAAGGTACACTAATCTTTGGAATTCAATAGTAACTTTTTGTTCGATTTGCTTGATAGAAAAAAGAAGGGTCATTTGAAGCCATCATACAAACTGGCTAGCAGATATTCTCAGGTGACTTTCACCAAGTTGCATTATTCAGAAATTATGACTAATTGCACAATTTATATTCACCATCGTATTATCCTATAGACAAAACACCATGATTGGTTTATATTTGAATTTTTATTTGTAAACTTATATATATATTAGAGTTAAGCCTGATGAGATCTAATTGAAAACAGTATTGTTCGCTTAAGTGTGTTATTCAAAAATTAACAAACACAAATTGAATCTAAGCTAAACCTTTTATCAGATTGTGTTTAATGATACATAATAAAGGAAACATTATGATTACACCAACTCATCAAAAAATCTTTATTTCTTTCCACTAACATAAGTGTTTACTCAGTCTATAGTAAAATAAATTATACAAAATGGCTATTCAAACTGCTTCAAATAAAAGTAAAATTATTCTAACTTACACATTACTTGTACTGCCCATTGACGTTTAGCAACACCATATTCATTGGTTACTACACAACGATAATTTCCAGCATCTGGAGTTTGTACATCGGTTAGATAAAGCTGTTAGATATGGTTATAAAAGTAAGTACTTAACGTTGTGCATTGACAATGCTTTAATGAAATATGTAAATTATTTCTCCGATATAATGATAAATGAATTTGGTCAATGTTGTAGAGTGTTATTTCCTCAGGGAATAATTCTATTTGACAGAGACAGACAGTGATACAGTATTAATACGTTACGGTGTTTCTAGAACAATTCATAACGCATAATCATGTCAAGGCATTCACATAACTTTGGAACTTTATTAACAAGGTTTACAAAGCTACAAATCCTCACGATCAATATCTAAGCATTTATTAGATGGATTAATACTTCATCATTTTAGCTGATTAACAACTGATAAGTTAACTAAGTGTACTTTAAGTTGTTTGTCTGAAGATGGCTAGCTGTGAATTCCAGGATACACGCTTCCTTCTGCCTGGGACTCATCACCTGAATGAACCTGTATCCCATCGCATCATGGTAAGAAGAAATACACAGCCTAAATTCCGTTTCTAGCTACGCTATCAGGTCAGCTATTTCATCATCAACAGGAAATCATCAACTGTTAGATTCCGAACCAGGGGCTGAATGGTAATATGTCTGCCTCGTATCTTAACCGTTCCAAGCACAACTGCTCGTGTGACTTTTAGTACCCACTACTGAACAGTTTGAAACTGAGGCGAAACAGTACTCTTTAGTTCTCATCGATTCATCCAGTCCTTCATAGTTGTTGATTTTGGTTCTTGATAAAACCTACACTGAAACTTACACATCCCAACAGACCTAAGGTCTTAAACAACTGATTACTGAAGTGGAAACACGTCGGGCAGTTATCATGTTACAGTATCTACTGTTTGAATTTTTAAGCCAAGTAAGAATAATGTTATGAAAATTACAAAGTATAACGAAGCCCAAATTATTGTTCAAGCTGTATAGTTGATTTGTGAAAATGTATAATTATACTGACAACATGCGTTAGGTAAGATTTGGCTTTTCGCACCTGTGTATCTCCAACTGAAATATTGGATTTAGGAAATGTCTCAGGAGTAATCAGTTCACCATCTTTGAACCATTCAACACGAGCTCTCGGTGACGCCTCCCAGTCACAAACTAGACGTGTACTGGAGTTCTGTAACACTTGTCTTGGATTTTTACCCTCTGATCCAACAATAACAGGTGAGTCTAATAAAAAAAAAGAGAAATAAGGATTTGCTTATGTTTGTATCAGAATAGAACACAGAATTAGGTAGAACGGTGTAACGTGAACAGTCTAAGTCTAAAGTATCTAACGTCAACGCTAAGTTATACCATTTGAAACTAGATAAATAACATGATTTTTCTGTCATAATACTTCTATTCGCGTTAGAATCTGGACCATTAAATATCTCGTTTAATATGTTTTCGTTTTAAGGAAAATAAGTCCCTTCAGCTACCAGCTTTTTATTTGAAAAAGTCATGCCTACATATTAACTTAGCAGAATATAATTAAGACGATGTTACTCAACATGCCCAATAGGTATTACCTATTTACTGATATTTTTGAGGTGAAATTAACAACATTTTTGTGAATATGGACTCTTTGAGTGAATGTATCGATACTACGTCAAACAATTATTATTATATCCTTTAATTCCTAGAGGAACATAGGGCTTCAGCTGCGCGTCTCCATCGCCTTCGGTTTTCTGCCAACTTTTTCACCCCGCTCCAAGTCTGCCCACATGCTTTCATTTTCTCTTCACATGACCTCCTCCAAGTCATTCTCGCACTGATGACCAACTCGCCGCCTCCCTTTCGGGTTCCATTCGAGCGATTGTCTGTCTAGTGATGTCACTTGATGGTTTCCTCAGAGTATGGCCAATCCACTTCTATTTCTTCCTGTTTATTTGTTTCACTATCGGTTCCTGGTTGGTTCGCTCATTGCCGGAGATCCCTGTAGCTGATCTTTTCTGGCTGGCTATCTGATCTTGAGTATTGAGCGAAGACAACTGTTAATGAAGGTCTGAAGTTTGTTTGAGATGCTCTTTGATGACGCACTGGCCAAGTCTCTGATCCGTATGCTAAGTAGCACTAACTGACTTCACATTGGAGTTGAAAATCCGGATCTCATTTTTGATGCTGAGTGCTGTTGACCTCCACACAGACTTGAGAGTAATAAAAGCTTGTCTTGCATTTCCGATTCTGGCTTTGATATCCTCGTCAGATCCGTCCGCCTGTAGTTGAAACGATGCTTCCCAGGTAGGTAAACAAACAATCGCTTCCACTTATCTCATCGGGAATGAGTAACATGAAATATTGCTTTGACGTTTAAGACACTGAGTACTCGAAATGAGAGCCATTTACAATACCAGTACTTCCTTAGGGTGGATATATATCTGGATGAAAAATTCAACACTAGAAAAAGGACTTAGACTGGATTGTATTATTGGCTCCAGTCGGATGGAAAAACTTTGTATCAAGTACAATTCACACGTGATCATTGTAATGCATTAGAATAGTTTAAAAACATGTCCGATACTATCACTGTGCATTGATGTGTTGGTACCCAATGCATTATTTGAATGACTACTTGTAGCTTATTAAATTGCAAAGGGCACTAAGAGCTGTCGGCAGGACGAATGAGTTAACGCTAAACTATTTCGCTAATACTGCTGTGGACAGACACTTGAACTTATGAGAGTACTCGGCGAATATCATCTTCTCGTACTCTGAGCATCTTATTAGGTAGGACTAGAAGGCATTATAAAAGACTTTTTGCTAGATATAAGAACTCTACAATATCTATTTTGGGGCACGTTTTCTGTGGCGAGAAACGTGTTAAGTATGAAACTACTAGCTATTGCTGGACAGCAAATAAATGGTCCTTTTTATTCTTTTTGAAATTAATATGCTGTTGTCAATATTTCTACATTCATATTCTTATCGACATTATTATCAATGTAAATGCCTTGTTCAGTACCCCTCCTCTTACTGGTAATATACTACGTGATGAGAATTGCAAATCTTAGTATTCGTATTGCTTGGGATAAAGCTATTATTATTATTATTGGATCTCGAGTATTAGAATGCTTGAACTAATAGGATGTTTAGGATCATTTCTGGGCGCAGGTGTGAGAATGATTCGATGATGTTGTGAGTAAGTTAGAAAGTATGCTGACGATATTTGTAGATGGGACAGAAGTATTTCATAGGATTCATCTTTTATGCGCGTAATGTAGGATAGAACGGTGACAGCGTTTCAGTATCTTGAGGCGACTGGGGAAGATACAATGCAGTTGGTCCCATATTGACCAAATTGATATTCTCAAATGAAATTTGACAGTATTAATGAAAATCTCAAAATGGACCTACAAAATGATACACAAAAATACTTACACACTAAAGTTGGATCAAATATTCTTTTAATTTCTCCAGCTTTATTTTTAGCAATACAGATATAACGCGTTATTACACCATAGTCAACATTTGGCAATAATAACTGTCGACCATTTAAACGTTGTTGTATATTACGATCCCCTGGACCAGTGGTTGGGAGATCCTTTATTGAAAATAAATAATGAAAGAGAGGAAATAACTTGATGTTTCATACGCCACTTTGCTTCATATTAATTATTTCCAATTATGATGCTAAGACTTTACCTGCATTATGTACAAGAAAAACCATCAGATATCATTACGGAGCTTTATTACACAGAGAACCATAGAAACATTGGAGCCCAGTAACAAACGCCCACGACCTATAGAAGTGGGTCATAGGTTCATAGGACAGTGTTTTCATTATACTATTGAGATGAAACGATCTGGCTTGTGAGTTCTAAATTTTGTAAATCTGTGACAGGGAGTCAACACCAACCGACTACTGTTTGCCCACATACTCTTGTTAGCATAAAATATTTGAAGATGTCTATTTTCGAAATCTACTAGAGTATCTATTATTTTAAGTAACTTGAAAATAGGGTAAAATTACTCTAATCTATTTGAACAGATTAACAGTAATATCTCCATTATATTTACGAATACTAGTCGAAAATAAATGAGAGCATAAATCGAAATGCGCCTCAGATTAAAAGACCTTACGTAACTGGATCGACTCCCGGAACACACTTCTCACGAACTAGGTAATAAGCCACACTTGGTTGTCCAGGATGATGTAGATAAAGTGAGGTCGAACCAGCGACCCGTTTCATGAAATCTGAGCATCTAAGCCAATGCTCCACACTTCCACGTTACTCACTGAGTGTCCCTTTGAATATTTTTCCGTTAGTCTACTCTGATGAATTTACAGTTAGTAGATTCTAGTCATATAGCCTTTGATAAAACTCTTGGTTTAAAAGGTTCACTTAAATTACTTCTAAATAGGCCTGCTCTCATGTTTTGTTTATAATAGCTGAAAAGGTTATCTATTATTTCAGGAACACAAGCCATTTATCAGTACTCCCTAATCTCAAACAGCAGTTTGAACTTGAGATTAAGAGAAAATTAGTTCATCTTTATTTATAAACTTAAAAGAATTGATTCAGCGAAGAGATTCTTTCCAATGAATTTACCATCAAGCTTAGTGCTTTGGTCGACTAGTTCAAAAATGAATGTTCTAAGTTAAGATTGGTGAGGAAATACAATTTCCTTTCGTTTTGATGAATGCCAACCGGCGAAATCACTTCCGGACTCACTTCCAAAGCCAAACAGAAATAGAAAATGATGTTAGGTAGTTGGAGGCAATCAGCATGAAGCACTGTACCAAACACTAAGGATCAAGCAACTTACACTGGATACACCTGATATGTATCCACATAATATGTGTGTTTGTTTTTGACAGTCTGTTATATTTTGCTATATATATATATGGATCGGTATTCCATTATAATTGAAAATATGTTTTATCTGTCCACTAACTAAACAAACATGTCTGACCTTGTTGTCACATGACATTACAACCAATCACGTGAAGACTGTCTATTGATTCGTTCATTTTTGAACATTCGCTCATGCACTTGTGTGACATTGATTTTCCTTGTTTGAAAATAAAATACAAGTATCATCGTGAACCTGGTGGTTTTCTGATTTCCGCCTTCTTGTGTCAGGACTATTAATTACTCGACCAGTACATAACAACACCTGGGTGACCGATTAGTGTACATAAATATAAAGGCGTTGCAGTGTTCTGCAGCCTAGTCTAACGGTCATACTACAGTCTCCACTGATAGATAGGAATCAAAGCCTTGACATTTATTTACATTAGCTGTCGTTCATCGATAAATTAATCCTGGTAAATTTAAACTTTTTAAACTTACATATTCCCAACGAATTTCTGGCTCTGGTTGACCAGTTACATTGCACCACAGATAATTTGGTTTACCTCTTTCAAGTATTGGTGATTCATGATCCAAACCGTCAAGAAATCTTGGAGAAGCTGAAAAATCAAATAGAGAACAGTCATTGGATGAATAAATATGTAATTACTGTGTATAAAACTTAAAAATCTGATGTTAAGGGGTTGAAAACTATCGGCAAGGAGCCTCGGACCGAAGTTCCTTTAGCCTCGAAGAAACTGATATCCAGTCGGAGTGTCAAACCTTAAGGTTTCATTTTCTAAACCTGGAAAATTGAAAAGGACTTTACTCTACATCTTCCAATGAAGATCTTTCTAGTTAAAAGTAGGACTTGAAATAGACATTACATTTTTATCTAACCGGCTGAAAGTTTCTTTAAAATCAGATAGCTTTCTTTATACCCTGATTATTGTAATTTTTCAAGGTATCACCTTCATTTTCTAGTATTTAGAAAACGTTCCTATGCAGAACCCAATAATCTGAAATCGAACGCATATTCCAATATCGTATCAATAAAGATAATGGTAATAATATGAGTTGAAAATCTAACGGAATAAAACTCAATTTAAACACTAATTATGACCATTCACTACTATACATTCATTGTCGCTTATGATCATTTACTCTCAAATGTAGCGTTCAGTCTAGTGCCATGTTTATGCATATTACCATATTTTTAACTGTATGTCGCCTAGTAACAATACACTCATAAACACCTCTTGGAATTTTGATTCTAATGGAACGCTGTTATCTAAAAAAACATAAATGATGTTAACAACAATTATTTTTTAATTGTAGAACCTGAAACAGAGAGAGAGTGTGTGTGTGTTCTTTGTTCACTAATCAGTCTAGTGACTTTTATAATAAGAATTTTCAGACAATTACAAATCATTTAATCGTAGATAATGATGTAGGGTGTTAACGGTTACCTGTCTATATTTTAATCACACAGCATGTACAAAGGTTTTTTTTTTGCTATTCGTCAATCACCTATCCGACCAGTTATTTTTTATGACTAAGAGGAGAATAAGGAAAAAAACTGATAGTAAAATACTTACATGAAACTTGAACTTCTATATCCAGTCGATCTTCTCCAACAGGATTACTAGCTATACAAGTGAATCTTCCAGCATCATGTGTTTGAACACCTCTAATCAACAGAAGTCGTCCTTGATCATGAAGTTCATAACGGCTACTCAGATTTGCAACATTTGTACGAGTTGTAGAATAATCTACTCCTTCATTTGGTGATACAGCCAGGACGTGTAGTCCAAGTGGTGTGTCATCTTTTAACCACTGATAAACTGGTTCTGGATTTGCTGTAGCTAAACATTGTAGGCGTAGTTCTTCATCATCATTGACATTCACTTTGGAGGGAGAGGATGAATGTCTTAATATGCCAGGTGATGCTGTAAAAGTAAGAAGAAAATAGGGACATTATTTTAAATTTAATTTGAACTGCTCTGTTCTGTGGCAACGTATAGTCCTATTAGTTTATTAATTACTACCATTTTTCTGAGCTTAAAATCATTTCATGCTTATTCGCTCAAGGTTAATTCCATGTAGATTTCAAGACAAAGAGAAATCGGTCACTGAATCATTTAAAATCAGTTGTGCAGTGAGTGATATATGGTCTTCAATGATTTTCTAATTCGTGTCAGTCTTCGACTAATACCACGTTGAAAGCAACCAAAATCCTTTCATCAAATCAAAACGCTCAAAGATATTTTTCTTGTGATGTAAAAGTCAATCTTAGCTACTTACACCGTCTGAGAAGCATACATTATAACTGCATAAAATACTTTTGAAACAGTTAACCTTTCTGATAAATTTAAATGAGACATTTAGAAAACAGATACTGAGAGATGTTGGTTTCTGGATGACTAGCATGACTGACAGTAATATGGTGTCCGACATTCGGTTAATTTTGAAGTATTTGTGTTGCAGGTATTTGATCGATCTCAAGGTGCATCTCGCCACGCACTAACCAATATCTCCATCTGAAAAAGTCATGAATTTTACTATAGTGCATAGTACCTTGTATCAGTTACTTAAGGGATTTTAAGGCAAGTAATCACTCCTCTGTATTCTTTGAAAACGATGTTAATATGTTTGTCAGCTTTATGCAGATGAATGATGAAAGACGCTGTGTTTTTGTAGTTGGGTGGTTCATTCACTCAACCTCTTGTAATATAAAATGATTAGCATAAGGTAGAGCAGTTGTGTTTATTCACTAGAGAACGGTAATTGGTATTTCTAGACCTTAGTGACTTCCAGCAGGAACTTATCACATGTTGAGACCACTCAGTGAATCCCAGGGATCAAAGACCGGTCAAAACACAATAAAAAGTATCCGCTATCAAATTTGGTCAGTGGTACTACAGATTTTCAAGCGAGAACGAAACACCTGTTAGGTGTTCTTTGTTTTTCGACGTTGGTCTAGTCAACTTCAATTCATCATGATTTTCACGCTGAAATGATTTATGTGTGAATGAGATAATAATACTTTTTAAACCAGATAAAATCCGTCTAGATGCAAAGATGTTACCGATCTCCTGGAATAATGTGAGCGCCACGTCAGACTGTATCCTTATGGAATAATTTAAAACAACCGCAGAATATTTAAGAAATATAATTTACTTACATGTGACCTCTAGAGTGTAATGATAATTCCAGGATCCGGGTATGTTGACTGCTAGACATTTAAATTGACCTTGATCTTCAAGACGAACGTTTAGTATTGTTAAGGCTGAACCATCAGCACTAATGGAAAAACGATCTATAAAATAATGAGAAAGCGTATTCTCTCAGTCCAGTTTTCTCTGTACTTTTTTAGTGAACAGTAATACTCAAAATAATTACTAGTGTTTAACGAAAAACATTTCAGTATTCTGTATTGTTTGATTAGCTCTCAAAATTTTGACACTTTCAGCCTGTTGCTACACTGTCTTGAAATGGTAGTAAACAAACTTGCACTCAGATCTAATGCAGTCATGATTCTCACGAAAAGTCTAAATTACATATATTAAGTTCAAGTAAAGTGCATTAGAATTGAAACATTCCTGTGGAGTATTGATATGGTAATATGGTTCTTAGTTATCACTTGTATTCTTGAACGCAGGTATTTGTAACCAGTTTCAGTTGGTTCTGAGGCCTCAATACCATGACCATAGTTAATTTGCAGTGACTGTTTAATGCACTAGTATCTGTAGAAGTGGATTGTTTGTAACAATTCTGAAGGAGGGATGAAAGTTTGAATCTCTAGACGGCTAAGTATCCACATCCAGGAAACCCAGGCCCAGGACAGTCCACCAGTTACTAGCAATTGTACTGGATGGTTGGTCGGTGTTATAGTTGAGTAAGTTTTCAAATTTGCCTCGGATTGTTCAAATAAGTTTATCGTCCATGTGTTTAGTCCAATGAATCGTCTAATGTTCTTTGCTTTCGTATTTCAGCTAATTTTCAACACAGCTTTTATCGTTATATATAACCTTTCTGCTCCCCATAGATTTATTATTTCTATAAACCTTTATTACATGCTTTGTTAAAAACAAACAAAACTAGTTAGACAGTTTTAAAACAATGTTCATACAATTTAAACAAGTCAGTCATCTCTTACCTTGTGGCATTACACTGTAAATATCTTCTTCATCTTTAAACCATTTAATCTGTGCCGGCGGATTTGAACTCATGACACAAGTAAAGGTTATATTCCCGCCCATATTTATTGTTCTAATTGTAAGATTTTGTGCCATATTTCTGTCACCGGTTGGTTCTTCATTAAAGCAAAATGGAAATTAAATCAAAGTTTATAGTGAACAAGTTAAAATATAAACTCGTGGCTTTCGCCGTATAATAACTGACAATCTGAATAAGAATGTGGTGCGCAAGTGTGCCACTGTTGCTAAGATTGCATTTATAGTGCTTAAACTTCACAAGATTGATAGGAGAAGGTTTTCATAATAAAAATAAAGGTTGATTAGCAGCATAAAAAGTAAGAAGAGAAGAATAAAGAAGTGGAAGGGAAAATCAGGTAGAATAGCATGAAAATGATTTACTCTCAATGTAACCTAAGGATATTTTATTAGTAGACACATAAATGAACACTTCTTTGATTGTTCCTACCTGAAATATGAATAAATGAATCAGCAGATGTGCCTAGCTTATGATTTTCTAATTCGAAAGAGGGGAAAAACTACTTTACTCCGATGGAATTTGCCGCGTTTCACTTCACTCCAACTAAAGTGTTTAACAATTCGAGAGTAATAGTCAACTAACACCATATTATTTTAAGAATCCTTAAGTAACTAGTTAAGTGTTCATGCAATTTCACAAGAAACCACTTGATGTTAAAAGTAGACAGCTGACTAAACTGTCATGCATTTTAAGAAGTAAAATCTGAAACCTGAAGAAACTTGAGCTCTTTTGATTGCGCCGCTGATGAAGAGACGTCAGAGACTTCATATCATATTGAGCCAGTTACATTTTTAATTCCTGGTGTAGACTGATGGAGATTAGTATCTCAAAGTTAATATAATTTTCCTAAATTTTGAAGGTACACCTTAGTGACAAGACCTAACAGATACAGAGCTCTACTTTCTGCGTATTCAAGGTTAACATCTTACACCAAATTAAGGTGAATCACATAATACAGAAATCAGGAAAAAAACCATTCATTGCTGCAGTTGACTCAGTGAATTCAAATAATACAGAAAGCATCTCTTTGGAAAGTGAAACCTTATGACGCATTTGTCATAATCAAAACAAACGAGTTGGATAAAATTCAAAACTTAATAAACAACGTCTTCAACGACATCAAATTCACAAGGGAGGAGGAATCCGCGAACAAAATCCCATTTTTGGACGTCTTAGTCAGGCGAACAACCACAGGGGAATTAGAAACTCAAGTTTATAGAAAATCACCTCAGACGGACCAAATAGTGAACTGCAACAGCAACAATCCAATAACACACAAAAGGAATTGCATACAAACACTATTCAAGAGGGCCAGGACTCATTGCAACACTCCCACTCTAAGGAAAAATAAAGAAAGATTTCTCGTAGATGTCTTCTAAAAGAATGGATATCCACTGAATTTCATCAAAAGACAAATACCCCCAAGCCAACCTATCAAATCAAAGCCCCCAAGGAAAGCACAAAGAAAGTCGCCCTACCATATATAAAGGACATCTCAGAAATCACTACAATACTCTTCAAACCTCTAGGAATTTACGTCGTACACAAACCAACAAAGTCACTTCACTCAGCTCTATGTCAACCAAAAGACGTAAACAGCGAAAGAAGATAAAGCCAACATCATCTACTAAATAAATTGTAACAACTACGAAAAACACTATATTGGCCAAAATGGACGTCCCCTTCGTCTTCGTATCCATGATCACAAGCTAGCCGTCAAAAGACATGACATACACTCCTTCATATCGCCTCACTGCATACAGACAACCACGGACATCAATTCGACCGGGACAACGTTTAAATATTAGGCAGAGGAACATTAAGAATTCTAGAGAATTCCATATCAGTTTGTTTATTAGATGTATCCCACAGTGAAACAGTATTATTTACTGGATAAATTGATATGATTATGAACAATAAATTGTGTTCGAAACGTCATCCAGTAAATAATATTGTTTCACTGTGTGATACATCTAATAAACAGAGGTGTGAAAACACAAAAAAACAACCAATCACGCTCATGGTCACCAGGAGAGATGAATAATAAACTCGTAGATAAATCTAAAAGCTCACTTCAGATTAGAGTATGCGTTGAAGATGTTGCCCAGTAGGGCAATGAAAGCCTCACAAATTAACTATCCAGCTCAGAGAACACAACCACACCAAAAACAATTATAAATTTACCTCTACGGTAGTCTCTTCTACTCTGTGATCACATCCCTGGACCAGTTACCCTCGCCTGTTGTATTTCAAGTCTAGATGGACAAACCTCTGGACCAAATGGTTTATGTATTTCAGTAGTCGATTTCCTCATTTTTATTACTTAATCCCCTAAGTATCTGAGTTTCAGATTAGATACACACATAGTGAATAAATCCAGAAGACTTTCTTCAAGGAAAACTCTTTGTTAAAAGCGTATAAAATGTTTCTGGTAATTCACTTTTTGTATTCATGCATTTAAAGTGGTGATATCTGAAGTAAAATGAATATATGGGTCAATTCCCAATTAGAAGCGATAATCCGTTCACTTTACAATCTGCAGGTTATCTGTTATTCTGATCGAAATGCTATGACTATAATTTTATACTAACCAAATAAAAAAAGCTAAGATTCTTGTTCATACAAATACCACAACCATGCCTACATTCACGTATATATGTCTAGTCAAACCAATGCGAATGTACAATATAAAACCCTAGGTATTTTGTGAAAACAATGGGGCCCAAGCATTAACTGAATGAAACTCACCAAAAACAGTTAAAACGGTCAATGCATGTGCTGTTCCAGCTTCATTCTCTGCGATACATTCATATTCTCCGCCTTGATAGGGTCTTGCTGACAAAAGCATAAGATTCTTTGGACCGACTAATCTGGTTTAAAAAGGATAGAAATAGTGATAATTAGTTGCAGTAACTAACAGATAATTTTGATGAAACGTGATAAATGTTTGTTTTCTTCTAGGATTAGTCAATAGTGGTACCGAACTATACGAATTTATTACAGAGACTGAAAGAAAAGAAAGCCAAAGGCTTTAGGTGGATTTTTTTGCAATAAGAAATTATATTACGTTATCTTTTGATATCCTATTTATTGTCATATCTATCATCTGATGGGCTTGAAATATCAATAATAAAAAGTTGATTCGGCATATTTATAGTAGCCTAGTAGACAATGCTTCAATGTTTGGAACCTTGGCTAGTTAGTCTGAGTGCCACTGAGGATAATTGCATACTGAGGAGCAGACGTTTTTAGCTGATGAGTCCCTGATAGGAAGGAAGGTATGTCCTTGACTCTTTATCCAATAGCCAAATTAATAATCTTGAAGTAATAGAGATTTGTAGCTCAGGTGAGTGATCTGGAATTTGTTGTGTTCCTTAAGCTGGTTGGTTTAACTGTAAGGCTCAGAAAACACAACTTATTCCAAGTTAATAATCTATTAAGCCTCGCAAATTTTAGAATAAAAGTAGGCGTTTAAAGACTGTGTAGTTTAGGGAGAGATTTCACAGTGATTTCCTGTTGAATATAAAAGCATTCTGACCAAAACTTGTAGTGCATTTGATACTGTGAAGAGTTTGAAAACTATGATTGGAAACTTTATATAGTGTAAACTATTAACTGACATATATAGTCAATAACTACACAGAGCAGGAAACAGTAACCGCTAGTCAAATCAAAATAACAAAATAATTAGGCAGTTTTTTTCTCACTTTCTTGTAGTGAAATCATGCCGATCTGACTACGACGGCTATTGGTTGGAGGTGAATGGTTATTAACTACTCGTCAATAATTTTTGTAGCATGAAAGTTTTAGTTCTTGGTGTAGTTGTGTTCGATCTGAAGTATGCTCTGAGGACATTGTCTAGTAAGAAAATTAAAGCTTCTCAACTAAACCGTTTAGCTCAAACAACATAACTACACCAAAATCATTCACCTGAACTAAAAAATCTCCCACATTATACCTGAATGTTAGTTTATTTACCTTTTTCAGTACAAAATACAAACAATAAGCCCATTTAACTATCTGTTATAATTACATCTCTGAAATATCAGAGGAGATCTGTAGCTCTGGTGGATATTTTTTATGTTTCCTGAGCTGGATGGTTTAGTTGAGAAGTTCTCATTGTCCCTCTAAGTAACACCAAGTAACACACTGTTTAACTGTTTTAATAAGTACTACATATAAAGTACGGATGTAACTTTAATTAACATCTAAGAAAAGAAATATTAGTTTATTTACTTACCGATATCCTGGATCAGTTTCTAAATCCAATGGTTTCCCTTTAAATAACCAAGTGATATTTGGCGGAGGACTACCAGTAGCTTCACAAGTTAAAGTTATTGTGTTATTAACAAATACAACCGCTTTTTCATTCAAACTGTCGATTCGAGGCTTTTCTGTAGGTAAAAGTAGATAAGAAATAGTCTACTTAACTATTTATGTAGAATAATAAAGAGTCGATCTTTTTTCTCTGATGCTCGCTAGTGACTTTATATTGAATAAAGTTTCCTGGAGTTTTAGTGAGAAGTAGTGACCAATGTATCTGGTCCCAGTGGCTGAATGGTATACGAGTATGCCTTGTAACTGGAAAGTCCTTGGTTGGAGACCCAGTGCGTACGAACTACCGATGATTCCCAAACTAGAATGAAACAACTGTCCAGTACTCTCTGGTTTTCAATGGTTCTCTAAGTGACATTAATCCGTGGTCGAACTCGTAAAAAGAGTTGATTAGTGAAAATTAGTTTCAATTGTATGCTTATAATATTAACATTAGTAATAGCATAGTAATGGTGGCGGTAATAGTAATAAGCACTGTACTTTTATTATTACTATGATTGTTTGTAGAAGTAGTGGTAGTAGTTGCTGTTATTGCGCTGATGTATAGGGCGGAAGACTGTTCAGCTCTCTAATACTTTATTTCTCGTATAGAGTAAGTTTCCATATTAGATAAGTTTACCTGATATAATACATAATGATGATAATTGGATTGAATCACTTTGTATACAGGATAATAATTTGAAGATAACTTTTTGTTCATGGTCATTCTTTTAATAATCCTTGTCTGTTACTTCTGTGTCACAGAAGAAGAAACATTTTCTACATATCTATATACATATACTAAGTCATTCTTATTGTGAACAACTGGTATTGATCCAGTGAGGAAAACAAGGTTCATTTATTTATGTTAACTAGTTGCAGGTAATAAGCCAGAATATCTAAACCTACGTCTCGTGCCTTTTGGAACCCCTCAACAAGGTTTATCACCAACCTCGAAGGAGCTGATTTCCTGCTTGGCGATTTGAACCTACATCACCCAGTGCTGCAGCCAGAGACGTTATCACCCCAACCGAGCTCCGAGTAGGGCTGCAACAGATATACTCGTCAGTAACTAAAGGGCAACCAGAAAACCATCAAACATGAATTCATACTGCAATACGATGGTGTATCACTCAGCTTGATGACTGGACAGTGTAAGCTTGACTGGTAGGATTTAGGCAGGATCAGCACAAAGGAACAGACATGTGACATTCTCCATTTTGTAGTGGCCAGTCACCAGATTAACTCATCAGTGATTAGAAAACTCCAATGAAAAGAAAGTTTATTCAGCCTGGCAATAACTACATATTCTGTATCTTGGTCACCATGCCCTTTACATAAGTAATTTTCCCCATTCATTATACATGTGATTTCCTATATTTATTATAAGTTTCATTTCTTAATTAAATCTAATCAAAGAGGGTTTGTAAATATACAGTACAGTCTGGAATTTTGATTGGTCACTCGCCGGTGACTGGTGTAGTGTGTCCAGTCATATCTTTGGTGCAGACTGAAACCTCGGTCCAAGGCTTCCTGCTGACTGCCTCCAACTATCTAATATCAACAATCTGGAATTAAATGAATACGATTTCTATTGCAGAGCTGTATGAAATACAACTAGTGAATAAAGATCAACTTTCTGAACTCTGAATTTTCATATTTTCAACATAAAACGTGTTTCCATATGTACATGAGAATCCGATGAATAATGAAACTTACCGAGTAGGATTACTTCATAGGTTAAATCAGTAGAACCTCCTTTATTCATTCCTGTACAAGTATAGCTGAAACAGAAAGTAAAAAGAATTTCAGAATAATTGAAAACAAATATGGTATAACTGACTGATTATCAGTGCTAAAGGTTGAAACGTGAGGCACAATTATTCCATTTCGATCTAGATTTTGTGCTTGCCGACATTTTTCTGCATATCTTAAGAAAACTCAGTGGTAGTCCAGTGTATCTAATAAAGTGATGAAACTGAAAACTTCCTCATTAAACGTGCAGAAATGTACTTCCAGGTTAAGTGACCGTTCTAGTAATCCATTACTTAAATGTGTTATTGTCTGATGGATGGAACCTAGAACTAAGATCCAGGAGGAGAGTTTCATTAGATGCAGTGAGTGATGGTGTTCCCATTAGGACTTGAGTACAGTACCCACCTGTTACTGTTTTCGACTTTAATTGGCAGCCAGTACGCTGTAGATTCAAAAATTACCATACCCACCTAAATTTGTTCTGCTATCACACAATATATGTGAATGACCTTTCTAATGCCTAAATATTTATGTGACATTTTAGAATTTATTCTTATTAACTCCACTAAATTTTTCAACCTAAATATTTATATATATGTGAACAGTAGTAACTCACTTTCCTTGTAGAGCAGTACTCATTTCTTGTATATATAAATCTTTTCTCTCAGGGTTTATATTGATTATTTGCATGCCTAGGCTAGATGCAATTGTTTCTTGTTGGTCATCTTTACCAGATAACGGTTTACCATTCCAATACCATGTTAATTTAGGTTCTGGATACCCAGTCATACCACATTCAAGCTCTAATTTATGACCTGGTTGAACAAGACGACGAGTGGATGTTCCAATTGTTGTCACTTCTGGTGGGACTAAAATTTAAAAAGGTAATAAACCGAAAGTTTTAAAGAAGCTTGTTTCAAAATTTTTGTAGAGAAAGAAATTCAATACTCATCAGGTATTGTTTTCCACTGAGATAATTAGCGAAAGGGTTACAGATGAGTGTGTAATTCGACGCCATTTCATACTAGTTTTTTATAATTCATGGCCTACAATCCTTTGAAATCCCGGATGACGTGTTGATGAATTTATCTCTCACTTTTCTGCAAGTCCTTTTATCGTTATACTTGGACTTTTCGCTCACTAATAGGCAGGTAAAAGCATAACGATCCAGCACTGTGAACGCATCATTGACCTTGAAAAGACGTACCGATTTCAAGAGGTGAATTCGGGTCACCTACTAAACTCTCACCTAAATCTTTTCCTCATCTCTCCTTAATCTGACCCTAAACACATATAATCTTCTTCTAATTTAACAGCAATCTACTTCTAAGCTATTCCCGCCTTAACACTAACTCTGATTTTTTCCTAACTTAACCCTAAACTAACTACATATCCTGTTTGATATTCTGATAGTTATTTCATCGTTTTCTACAAATAAGTGTCTTTCACCTCGTTTCACTAACTTGTAGCTCACTTGCGTTTTGGAGCCATTGGTGAGTTCCCTCTCCCAGATCGCGTTTTTTAACTAGTTGCACTTGTGCTCATAAATTTTCTTCTTTGAAATGAATTGAATGAGAACAATCAAATTGGTGTAGAGCTATTATGGCTATTGTTCACAGTTGTACCGAGTGATTTTGAGACCCAACTACTAAGGGGGTAACAGTTTCGTTTTCAACTTGCTTTTTCCGTTATGCTTCTAAGGAGAATAATAACTTTAACGTACACACTTTCGTGTTGTTGTGTTGCCCGTCTGTTTTTCTATTTGTCTATGGCTTCAATAGACTGGTGTGATTTACATGACTGAGAGAGAGAGTTATCCCCACAATAGTCCTATTGATGGCTACCAAGGTGTGCACAGCTTGTGACAAACAGAGTTTCCTAGGGATCGACTCTAAATATCTAGCAGTAATACATAAGGTACTGTTCAGTCATATCACATACCTTGATGACCAAATAATAAACTTGACTGATGGATTTTAGTGAGCATTAAAGTTCTGAAGGTTACCTCAGTTTCAGCTTAACGACCAATAAAATCAAGGCATATATGTTTCAATGATCAGTTTATATTCGAAATGATGTTAAATGTAAATACAAATGAAAATTACGATTCATAGGGTAAATAACTACATGATGACCTTTTTGTAGCGATGAAGGGGTGAATATCATAGTTTCTGGTGTGGCGGTTGAGACTGGAAACACTGTCGCCTCACAAAACCTGTGGATCGGGGTTAACAGCTATTGACATCAAGCTGTTTCGGTCCCTCCAAACCACAGGCGTAAAACAGCATAACTTACTACCACAATATCCCATCTAGCCTATAGTATGACCTAATCCTTAGAGTATCATTACACTGTGAGTGGCTGGTACCTTAATAACAATAATTAACCAACCTGCCACGCCTAATAGGGTTTCAGTTAATAATTATTCTAGCCAGTATTATCCGTTAGATTATAGCTGTTATAATATGAAGACCAGATCATTGCACTAAGGCAGCAAGTTTCTATCTGGATAAGAGTAACAGGAAAACTAGTAAGGGTATTCACATTGTCTTTAATTAATTCCGCGGGTACCTCTTAAACTTTCCTTTAGTTTTTTCTTGGTTCAGCCCACCTACAACACTGAAAAAATGCTTTGCAAAACGCTAAATATACCGAACATTCAATTATTGTAAAGTATCATTTAACGATGGTTTAAGTGACAGTTTTCCAATTAATAAATGTTATTCTCAATGAATTTTGTTTTGATAACTTACTTAATACAGTAACTTGGTAAAATCGAGAATCACTGCCAGCCACATTTTCAGCGCGACATTCATATGATCCTGAGTCATCTTCATTTTTACCACGTATTTCCTAAAATGTTCAAATAAAACGGTGACATAAAATTTTCGAATTTTTATAAACCCTTAAAATGCTACTATTTACAAAACAGAATATAAAATACATGACCCACGTATTCACTTATATTTGATGTGAAGTCAAAGTATTATTCAACTCCATTGCTCATCTTTGTCAGTACTATGTTTCGTTACTTTATCGAACTCTGACCAAATATATTTACAAGCTGGGATAACCGGTTTCGCACTACTCGTGTGTTTTATTTACCAATGGTCAGCATTCCATTTGGTTGTACCCAGGTCCGTTTCAAACCTTGATGCTGTGGTCAACATACGTATAACCAGGTTCACGCATTGAACCATCTACCATGATCCCTGGAGGATGATATATAGCCTTGTATTGCCAGGATGATGTCTATAAGTTCTTATGATGGTTTACCGCCTTAGTTATCATCAACACTTCAAAGTTTACTAATTTACTACGAATAAGACCGTTCCTTGATAAATGAAAACTCTTATTAAAACATGAGGAAGTAGGATAGTCTAAAGAGAATTTGGAAATCTTGCGAATACCTCGATATTATTTTGCAAACTAAATTGTCCTGTAAGCGTCACCCAATTGTTAGTACTGTATTTTTGTGTGTTATAACTAGCATGGAAGTGAAAAAGGAAAGTTTAGGTGTGCTCAAATGTTTTGTAATAAACTTATTAGACAGAGCCAACATGCAACAGTATGTACAAAATATTTGTATCTCTTCAGTAAACACCAGCAGTTATTCGACAGAAAACCCTATTCCATTTGGGTATTTTATGTGTTATTGATAGTCAATCAATAAGACTCATTTGCAACCTCATGTCTACTACTGTTGAACGGTAAGTTTGCTTACTTTGAATAGTCGGTAGTGTGTTACCCATTCATATGACAGTTAATTAAAATACTTGACAGTAGCTGGGTCTTGTAATTCAGTGTGATCAATGATTTAGTAATTATTTTATTTTTATTTTTGATTACAGCTTGATTCCACACCGTATTTTCGGTACAGGTATGGAATTTTCAGCATGTGATATCGGTAGCCCAAATTTTGTAGGCCGACCATTTACATCAGGTGTGCGTCGGCAGAGGATCGAACTCTGGACCATGTGCATGATTGGCGAGAGTCCTAACCGCTGTGCTACTGACGCACTATTAGTTGAGTATATAATTTACCTGTGGTCATTACTCCTTTATCAACCACATTTAACAGCTATATGATGACGATAAATGCCACGTGATTCACAACGGAAAACTCAGATATGCCTTTGAAGTAAAAAAAAATTGAGTAAGACAAAACTGACCAGTATCACCAATGATATTCCTAATTGTGGTCAACTGTGTCATGTGGCACACCATGGGATACGACAAGATAGGAATACATTCAGTCGATAGGAAAACTCTAGAAGATATGGACTCCGTGGACGATTTATGTTTAATGTCAAATAAATTCAAAGATTTACAGACGAAAACCAAAATGTATGTGGAAAAAACAGCAAAGACAAGACTTTATGTGAATATAGAGAAGACAGAGGTGACAAAGATACTTGAATAACGACGACAGCAAGCACTGGTTACTGTCAGAAAGGGAAATTTGAAGGAAGTTACTTCTTTTACTTGTTTAGACAGTATCGTTTCACCTAAAGGCGGTAAGGATTAAGGTGCCATAGGCAGAATCGGAAAGGCAAGGCAACCACTCATTGATCTGAAATCAATGTGGAAATCTGCTGTACCCAGAACAAGATTCAGATTTTCAACACTAATGTCGAGTAAGTTCTTTTGTATTGTTGATAGACGTGGCGCACCAGGAAAAGCGATTCCAACAGGCTACGACAGACTTTAATCAACGGCTTCCTTCCTTCCTTCCATGCTGCGGATCAGTTGGCCAATGAGAAAAGATAAACAACGAGGAAGGCCGATCGGTAACAAACCAACCAAGAATCTGCATCCCAGAAAGCATGCAGAAGGAACGAGAGGTGGACTGGACACACACTGAAGAGACTGTGGACTGACGTCACGCGCCAGACCTTCATTCAACGGGACCCGAATGGAGAAAAGCAAGTTTTTTTATTTACAGCTTGATTCCACACTGTATTTTTGGTACAAGTATGGAATTTTCAGCATGGATATCGGTCCCTCAAATTTTGTAGGCCGACCATAGATATCAGGTGTGCGTCGGCGGGGGGTCGAACCTCGGACCATGTGCATGGTCGGCGAGAGTCCTAACAACTGTGCCGCCGACGCACTTTGCGCTCATGGAGGTGTCACGGAGATCGTGTGAGCGGGAGATGAGAGCTTATGTGCAATCGTTGAGCCAGCCTAAATGATTCCAGAGAACAAGATGAAATGGAGATATGTTACTGAAGTTCTGTGTCCCACTCGAAACCAAATAATAACAATAATGAAATAAATAACTACATAAATGCCAATATCGTATCCTCGGACCATTCTAAATAGTTTCGCTGACGAATGGAAATAATAGTCATTTGAATTTGTCGATTTTTTAAGCAACTGAGGCTAAAGATGTCATTTCCAAATATGTTGCTGATATTTTAAACAAGACTCTGGCAATGTCATATTAAATGTAGTCTCCAGTTAATCATAGTTCATGTATGCACTCTGGAAATCTTCAAGTGAACACATAAAATGAGGTATTTCACCAAGATTAAACTTTATTAATGATTTGATCATAAAGTTTAGTGACAGAAAACATTCTAAGCACAAAACTGTTTAGTAAAATTCGTAACAGTTGCAAAAAAATATTATAAATTCATATTAGTTTGTTTAATTAATATAAAAAGAAAACGAAAGATTTTCTCCTTATTTTTAACTTACAACAGTGTGTCCATGATCAAGGAAACTGACACGTCCAGGAATTGGTTCTAATGGCCTACCATCTTTATACCAAGTTATTTTAGCAGGTGGTTGACTCACTGCAATGATACAAGTCAACAAGCCAACTTCTTGATTGCCTAATTCAAACTCTGCACTACCATCCTTTGATATAACAGGTGGCGCTAAAAAATTGAACAGATAATTTCTCATAGATTATATCTTTATAAATAAAAAAAGAAAATTCCACACAGGTATTTAGATTACCGCAGAATACAGTTTCATCATTTCATTAGAAATAATAACAATGCTTTGAAAGCTCCACACACACACACATATTCCCTTTTATAAACTTAAACAGAGAGAAAAAGCCTTTTAATACAACATGCTGACATTATATCATTACGATAGTCTCTACAAAGCCACTTGTAACTTGATGGAATGAAACGAAATCTCTCTTCAAAGGAAGAATTTTTGTCAAGCTGGATTTATATTCTTAGAAGGGGCGAATTTCAATCTTCCTTTATTTGTACTGTTTACTAAACTATTTTGAGTTGGTGGTTTGCGAGGGCTTGATAGGTTACAGGTTCGATTACGAGTTGATATCAGTTGGAGAATCACTGGAAAACAAGGGAGTCCTGGACAGCTGTTTTGTCCCAGTTTGGGTCCCTTCAATTGTATGCAATCAATGGGGTCCGAACCCAGTACTTCCCGGTTGCCTGCCGAGTTCGTAGAGCATTCAGCCACTGGGACCCAATCCAGTTACCCATGAATTATTATTTGCATTTGTAAGTAGCTGTAAAGTTCTTTCATCCAAGTTTAGCTTAAGCTTAGTGGGTCTTTTAATTTGTGCACATCACGATCTGCATTTATTAGTATTACCATTATGGGATTTTTGAAGAAGATGAAGAAAAAAAGTGATCAGCACACTTGTCTATCATTACCATTATTGTTAAAGCGTATTTAGAACTCTTAAAGAATTCATGTCATTTTTCAATATATCATTACCGGTGTTAGCTACTTTGGTGATCAGAAGTTTAACAACTAAGGTTGTAAGTTGGAGCTATTGGTTCGAAAATAGGATTAAAATTTAGGAACAGCAATTTAACCAGCTGCACTCGTCTACTGAGCAATAAACACACTTCATGGAGAAAAAATTGTAAGAGCAATGAACACTTAATCGGTAGAATCAGTTCATGTTTGAAGATTAGAAAACTTGAATTACTCTTAATATGCATTGATAAATGCATAAGCAATTAAAGTTTCGTACACATTATTTACATTGTGCATCGATGATACAGCGGTAGAATGCTCGCCGACCACACTGATGGTTTGGGGTTCGATTCCCCTCTGACGCACTCCTTTGCCTCACTAAACCAGTAATAAGACTGGTAAAGAGGTGAGGTTGAGCATGAGGCTAGTAAGGCCATCCCGTAAAAATAAATAGCACTGCTGCCGAAACTTCAAGCCTTTAACTTAAAGCACTATGTTCTATTGGGAACGTAAAGAAATCAAATAAGCGATAAAATAATGCATTTACAACTACTTCTGATAGCTACTTCGCTCACAGAGTTTACTCTTTAGTCTTGTAAAGATTGTATTGCATGAATTGAAATTGTAGTATACCAGTTATCATTAAATAGAATATTTCTCGTAAAATTCTAATAACATCAACTTCTGATCAACAACCTGTTTCCAAATGGTTTAGTGACGAGTCCCAAATAAGACGAAACAAGTATTCCTAGACTCCACTGCTAGTCACTTCCCACCAAATAATATCTTTTCAAGTTAGGTCAAGTTAGGACTCTGCAAGAACTGGCGAGGAATCACGCTCCTGTCAACGCCAAGTAAAATCCTGAGTCGCATCATCCTGGAGAGAATAAACGACGCACTGGATACAGAACTCCAACCAGAACAAGCTGGCTGCATTCAGGAAAGGCAAACCATGCACTGACCGAATTGCAACTCTACGCATCATTATCATCACAGAACAAAGCATGGAATGGAAATCAAACCTCCACCTCTACTTTATAGACTTCGAGAAGGCCTTCGACAGCATTGACCGCGAAGTAATTTGGAAACTACTCGAGTACTACGGCGTACCTCAAATATTCATCAACCTTATTCAACTGCTGTACGACAACGGCACATGTCAAGTGATCCACAATGGTAAACTCAGTGAGGCGTTTGGAATAAACACAGGAGTCAGACAAGGGTGCTTATTATCACCAGTGATATTCCTAATTGTGGTGGACTGACTAGATTGTGCGTCAGACAGTGGGAAACGAGCAGACAGGGATATCCTGGACCGACGTGAAGAACCTAGAAGACCTGGATTTCTCGCGTGGATGATTTATGTTTGATGTCACACACACAAAATCGAAGACTTACAAGCGAAAACCGACAAACTGGTCGAAGAAGCAGTCGGCGAAGATAGGACTACAAGTGAACATTGACAAGACGGAGGTGATGAAAACAACCAACCAACAACAATAGCAGCAGCAACAGCCAGCGTCAATCACCATCAACAGGCGATTTGGGATTTGAAAGAGGTTACTTCATTCACTCACTTATCTAGGGAGGGAGCATTGTCTCAACTACAGGCAGTCGGAACGGACGAGGATGTCAAATCGAGCGAGAATCGGGGAGGGGGGCGAGAAACACATTCATCAACCTGAAATCAATCTGGAAATCTTCGTCACTCAGCCAGCATCAACAACAAAATTCAGTCGGATTTTCAATACAAACGTCAAGTCAGTCAGTTCTTCTATACGGATCAGAAACTTGGCGGGCGGGTCACAAAGAATATTTCCAATAGCCTGATGCAGACCTTCATCAATAACTGTCTTCGCTCTGTACTGGAGATCAGATGGCCGGGCCGGAAAGAATCACCAACAACAAGAAACTATGGGAACAAACAAAACAAGAACAAACCAATCGCCAACCAGCAAATATGCAGGAGAAAGTGGAGATGGATAGGACACTCGCTGAGGAGACCGCTGGGTGACATCGCGCGAGCGTCAGGCCACTGCTTGAGTGGAACCCGAAAGGGAAGCGGCGAGTGGGACGTCAGTCGAAGGGTGACTTGGAGGAGATCGTGTGAAGAGGAGTTGAAACAGTATGGACTAACATGGATGCAGGTGAAAAGTACAGGAGAAGGAAGACAGAAGCAAGTGGAGACGTGCAGTTGAAACCCTATGTTCCACTAGGAACCTAAGGGAAAAATAATAATAATGTTAGATCATTATATATGTTCATTTTCGTCAGGCAGAAAATTCAGTAGTATATTTAATCGCTACATAATAAACCAAAAAATGTGAAATTTTCTGAAAAAGAAAAAACACTTCACCTGAAATTTGACGGTGAAAGGATTGATGCTACGCTGATAAACAGTTCCATAAATGTACAAATAGTTATTTAGTGCTGCTGTTCCCGAATCACTGAGATAATTTACTTAAAATAATCCATGGAATCTTCGGAAATATAATAACTGAACATTTAGTTATGTCTTTTAGGTGTCATACCATCTTTAAATATTTTCATGAGTGGATTTGCTACTCTGTATAAAACAAACTAGATTTTTAAAAAAACGATTCCCAAGCATACTTCACCATAAATAATAGACGTTACCAAAAATGTCACTAAATGAATGTATTTGTTTAACAGAAGATGCTTTTTAATAAATCGAGTAAATTTATGATTAAACTCACTTTTAACTGTGATTTCGAATTCTTTTGATTCGATTGCATGAACATTAATCGCAGAACATGTAAAACTTCCGGCAACAGCATCTGTAACTGAATATACAGTCAGCGTATATCCATCAGGTGAAATGACAATAGCTGGACCCATTGAACCCATATTAGTACTGTACACTGTTCCCGTATTTGTTCCAGGTCCTTGAGGTAAAATTATTCTACCATCTTTACGCCATTCCACAAGCGGCCTAGGGTCACCTTCAACTTTACATTCCAAAACTAAATTGTCCCCTTGAGTTATATCAATTTTACCGCCAGTTGAAGACTCCGTAAATTTGGGTTTAGCTAAAATATTGAATATAGGTAGTAAACGTGAAAGTAGTGGTATACGGTAAGTTTTTAGTTGTATGAATTCATAGGGACACACCGGATATCGTCAAACGACTTCTGCCTGTTTAACGTCTGAACTCTACAACTTTATGTCGCTCAAATATGATGTAAATATACTTCTCGAGTATTATCATGTCATAACAAGAAATCTGAAAAATTGAATGCCGGCTCAGTTTAAATGGTTTCCTATTATGGTGAAACTACTAAGCAGAAACGGATATTTGACGGGATTTTTGAACAAACACATGAACTTAGCAAGTTAACGGCCGTGAGTGTCCACGGTTCCCAAAAAATCACTGTTCCTAATCACTGTGATTCACGGAGGATGTTAATAGCCATATCTTATCACAGCATCTGAGAAGGGCCTACAAAAGGGCTTTCGGCACAGCTAAGTTATGTTGCTTATTTATTAGCCAACCAATGCTCAGTTCAAGAAATAAAGACAAACTGCCCTGTTTCGCCTATTCCATATGTATTTACCAGTTTAAATGCTCGGGCAGAGCTAGCTGCACTGGGCGTACCACCAGGTAAGTTCATTGTCGAATTTCTGAACACCTCTCATCTTGGTCCGGTGAAAGTCTGAATAAAGCTATACACAGCCCATCGCTAACTCACCTCGTCGATACTGAGCATCAGGCCAACTCTAATGAAGCTTTTATAATTTTTTACTGTATTTCACCCAACCATTCGCATGGTATGCGAGTACAATGTTTACACGCAACAGAGACAATCGAAATTCATCTGAACAAGCCAAATCTGTGTGTTCAGAAGAAATTTGTGCAGCCCCTTACTTGACCATGGCGACAACATAATATATATATATATATATCGTTTTTACAAACGATTTTCTTCTCTCCGTGTAACTATCTTTTGACTTTGTTATTTTATTATGTTCACAATTCTATTTAATTCAGCTGACTGGTTTATATCTTCGTGTTCTTACGTAATTGTACTTAGTCATCATTATTTTTCAGATTTCTTGATTGCTTAATGACTTGCTGCTGACCCCTACAAATCAAGTGGCCTTGAACTGCTTAATTATTTTCATCCCTCACTCAAAACTTAGATATCTTTTCGTTGACATCTACTGGTTTGTTGTTTTGAGGACTTCTAATCTTTTTTCAAGACTTGGTTTGTAGGAGTGTGATACGTTTCAAGTTTGATCACGGACTGATATGAATTAGAGAACCATTAAAAACCAGAAAACACTGGACAGCCGTTTCGTCCTCGTGTGTGACTCATCGTCAGTACTCACCCACTGGGTTTCAGTCTTTCATTTTCACTCCCTTGTAAATAAAACTTGCAATTCTTATACACTAAAACAACCACATGATTAGTATAATTTTGATTTAAAAAGCATATAAATGCATTATTGTAGAGCTGACGATGAGGAACTAATTGAAAAGGAATGTATTTCTTGAAATAATAGAAAAGATTTGCAACTCAGATGGATGATTTGCAATTAATAGTGTTCTCTGAGCTGGTTGGTTTAGTTGCGGAGCTTTCGTCGTCTTTCTGGACGACATCTTCAGCGCAGTATTTAGCATAAAGTCAAATGATTTAAAATCTCCATGAATGATGATACAGTTGTGTCTCCTGGTGACCAACTATCTTTACATATGTATTGACCGTTTTCTATTGATTGGGATTTTAAACTTTCTGGTCACCTGATTTACGTTTTATTGGTTGATATATTTCATCTATATTAACATGTTTATTAATTGCATTTTCGTTTGAGTACCAGGCTTCTATGAATTCCCTGGCACTTTTGGTGTTTCCTCTGTCTAAGATTTTGACATTATCCCAATCGGCCAAAGTGGGCGTCCCCTTCGAATAAGAATCCAAGATCACAAGTCAGCCGTGAAAAGACATGATATAAATTCTTTAGCATCAATGCATACAGACAATTATGGACATCAATTTGATAATGTCAAAATCTTAGACAGAGGAAACACCAAATGTGCCAGGGAATTCCTAGAAGCCTGGTACTCAAACGAAAATGCAATTAATAAACATGTTAATATAGATGAAATATATCAACCAATAAAACGTAAATCAGGTGACCAGAAAGTTTAAAATCCCAATCAATAGAAAACGGTCAATACATATGTAAAGATAGTTGGTCACCAGGAGACACAACTGTATCATCATTCATGGAGATTTTAAATCATTTGACTTTATGCTAAATACTGCGCTGAAGATGTCGTCCAGAAAGACGACGAAAGCTCCGCAATTAAACCAACCAGCTCAGAGGACACTATTAATCGCAAATGTATTTCTTCTCTCAATTTTCTCTTTTTTGCAAAAATGTAAATGGGGATTTTCAAATATTATGGAGGGATCAGATTTTGAAACAAGATTATCCTTGATATGTCATTAATTCCCTTTTTTACGTATTTTTACGTTCAGTTTCTTACGTTTAATGATTCATGCTGAAAACCTGCAACTCTTCAAATAAATCATTATGAGTAAAATTCTAAACTGCGAAATACCATCGGAAAATCGAATACTCTACGATTCATAAGAAGTCCTTAGTGAAAAAGCATTAAGCTTTAGAATGCATAATGTAGAAGCTACATTCGTGAGGCTGTTTTATACACTTTTTTAGAGTAATATTATCGGTTTACCCAGCCTACTGAATATTATTTCGGAATTATATTTGTTATTTAATTGTAAATCCTGATAATAAATTGCTGGAAATTGCATATTTGCTTTAAGTGTATTTTCTAATTTTGGTGAAAACATTGCTAGTGTTCGTAGTTACTTCACAAGATGATCAAGCAACGAGTAAATGAAAGTTCACAGGAGTTCATTTTAAACAATCAAGAAGCTTTTTGAACTGGGTAATCTTTGTGTATTTGTTTTCAGTGAATTTATTAGCAAAAGGTTCATTCTAATCACTGAATAGCTTGGAATTAGTTACCTATACTTAGCGATTATGCAAAAATATAGAGGTAATGCTTAGTTTCATAGTGCGGCTTACTATTGAATAGTACTATTAGTAATAGTAGAATATTCTGGACAACATTGTTAATATATATGCAGCGAAGGATTCTCGACGTTTTTATTGCCGAATAATTACTATTCGTATAATATCTTTTAGCAGAATAGTAATCAGTGGTACATTATTTGGTGGAATGTTGTTCTATGCGAAACCAGATCCCGTCCTTCATGATACTGTTCCTTCATTTTATTCGCAGCCAGCTAAAAGTTATTTAAAAGTCAACGTAAATGCATGCTGGTGTTCAAGGACGCAATTAGATGATAAAAACAGTCCGAAATCAAATAATTCTGATGCATGAAGCTGGATGGAGAACTTGACAGCCCAGAGATTCAAGCATAATTTCTTTGGATTATGTGACGGTGTAAAGCAATATTCTCTGGAATCGCACCTTAAAACACGTCTGAGTAATTTCACACAAAACCCAATCAGCAATAATTGTGCAATGAATTTCTCAGCTAATGCTATGCAAAATTACGGTATGGAGCAACTCTCGACTTGGGAAAGGAAAGCATACAAAAAAAGAATAAATTATAGATTAAATAACTGGTGAAAGTATTTTATGTGGTGAAGGTCACACGTAAGTTTTTAGAATTTCACTGAAACAAACGCATCACCACAGGTAAAGATTAAAAGTATTCTCACCTTGCACATCTAGTTCAATATCAAATTTAGCCTTTCCGACCACATTACGTGCAATACACGTGTAAATTCCTTCATCTTCGATCTAGATAAGTTAATTTTTTTAATAAGAATAATAATACATAAAAGTAATAATAAGTGTTTTATTGTTTTCTAAATGAGAATGGCTATCAGTTGAACTTTAAACAGCATTTAATTGATATATCCAGGTTTAAGCCTCATAGAACTAAAAAATCTAACTCCACAGTCACTAAACTATTAAACTATACATATATATGAATGTGTGGCTCATGAGCTAAAACGTTCAATTTGACTCACGGAGTCCGAAGACCGAATCTCGCTTTAGCACAGTAACTGCGGCTGATAGTTTGGTACATATTTATTTGATTCAAAGTAAACTCGAAGACTATTTGAACTAAAACAAATGTATTTATCTGATGGTAAGCTCATGAAAACCGGTTTTCTCTGCTCTGTAGAACATTAATCATAATACAACTTACTGTTGAATTAGAATTCAAGAATATACATCTCATTCTCCTGTGAATAGTCAGTCGTTTTAATGCTTAACAATGGTAACTGCTTACATCATTCCGAAATTATATTACTTACTTAGCTTTTTTCCTTCACATTCCCCAGTGGAACATAGGGCCTCAAGCCAGCAGCTTGAAGTTTTTGTAGCAGTGTTTGACTTTACAGGATGGAGTTGCTAGCCTCATGCCAAACCTTTCCTCTTAACCAGGATTATTTCTGGCTTAGCGAGGTAAAGGAGTGCGACGGTGAACGACACACTTACTTAGTTGCTCCCTATTAATTCGAAAAAATTATGTTCAACCTTCCTTATGTAGTTTTTTTTCTTGTATTACTTAGCTCATATCCAGTTGAAAAGGAGCCGCAAATCGATTAGCTATTATTACCACGCTAAATTTGCTTTCTTCAAGTTTATTAGTTGAAAGAATTATATAAAGTTTTTAGTAGAAAAACACTAAACTGGCAGGTTAACATTTACTTACAATACGAGTTAATATTAGTTACATAACAACTAATAAACGCACAGAGTAGTAAACAGTTGTTTCAACTAATTTTAGCTAATTTATCAGTATGTTACGTTTTTATTACATCATCATTACTGTCTCAATAATGGTTGTTTTGTTTTCGGCATATATGTTTTTCATAAGACTTACATACATGCATACATGTATGTATAATTTGGGCTAACTTACTTCTATATCACGAACGATTAGATTAAATCCATCCAAAAAGTATTTATCACTTGTTCTTGTATCGATTGGTTGATTATCTTTTAACCAGATTACAGTTGCAGCCGGTTTAGCATCTAGTACATTACAAATAATTTGTTTCTCTGGTGTACCCAGTAGCACTAGTTGTTTAGGTTGTGTAAATGAAATCGATGGAGCTTCTAATCAGATAAACAAGAGTGAAGAGAGTAATAAAACCAGTACATTAATATTATGGTAAAAACTCAGTCATAAAGCCATAATTTAGCTAGGTATTTTACTACAGGTATTGTAGTTGTATTGCTTATTTGAAGGTGTGTGTGTGTGTGTTTGTGTTTGCGTGTTCAGAGACCACCTAGTTTAGACTGTCATTAATATAAGGAAAGCTTAGTGAACTTTAGCAGAATGTAATTTCACACTGAATATGTTTATTTGAGTATATTAGCGATTATTTATTGATGATTATAATTGTATCAATAAATTTACATATTCTTCAATACCGTATTTTACCAGCTCCTTTATTCCTTGTTTTCAAAGTTAGAAAATTTCACTGTCAACGAAATAAATAACAAGGAACCAAACAGTGCAATAATTAGAAATTGTGTAATTGCACTGATAAGACGATAGCCAATGAACTGTGTCCAAAATGGTAACATTCAGTAAACGATGCTGTACCACCGTCCATATTATTATAGCAGATTATGGAATTTTGGAGAATAATTGTATCTTGGGTTACCTGTGTCTTCACTAACTTTCTGGACAACATCTTTGACGCTAACATTAAAGGTGGGTTATCAGTACTCTGTTATATGGTCTAGCAAAGTAAAAGTGATCTGTATCGCTCTTTAATTAATGTGACTACAAACACAGCTGTTAGTGAGAAATCAAGCATATGCATTACGTAATATTCACGTCGTATGATTTCAATTAATTTGAATACCTTTCTACCATCTGTTAAATGTCAACAGGAATGAAGAGTATTCTTCTTCTTCTAAATATATTCTCTTTTTTGAACGAAAAACTAATAAAATACAATAGTTTATCATGATCGTGGCTGTTTGTGCGTGAAAACATTTCAAATGGAATACAAATATGAAATTTCTGGATGACTGGATTATTTCCATAAAACTACTACACACTGCTGGTTGATTGAGATGAGTAGTCGTATGGCACTCACATTAACCAGTAGGGCTTGCTGGCCAAATCGAAGTGATCTAAACACTGAACAGCAATTTCTCTCGTGGGGGGCCGAGCTGATCAACGGTGTACCAAGCTCAAAGGGCCAAATCAGTTCAAACCACCAAATTTCTGACTAGCTGGAGATCTGGTTATACCATGAGTCAAATTTACATTTTGTGAATTAGTTCGCTACTGTGCAAAATTGATCAGTAATTCACACATTTAGAGGTGAATATTTCAGTACAGTTTCCCATGAAAGCTGAGGTTATTCAGAAGGGTAATTAGCAAACACTACTGGTTGATGTGTGTTATGAAACTACTCATCTAATTCAATCAGTAGTATCTGGTTTTATCCATCTACGCTTGCTTTCTTGATTACCATTTATGCGATCTGAATAATCTGGATTTTCAAAGGTAACTGTGGGGAGATTTCATCTTATCAAAGCGTGTAAATTGCGAACTAATCTGCAGGTTTTGAAAAATCCCACCGGTTCGTTGTGCGTCGGTGGCACAGCGGTTAGGACTCTCGCCGACCATGCACATGGTCCGGGGTTCGAGCCCGCACCGACGCACATCTGATATCTATGGTGGGCCTGCAAAATTTGGGCTACCGATATCCATGCTGAAAATTCCATACTTGTACCGAAAATACAGTGTGGAATCAAGCTGTAAATAAAAAAAAAATTAAAAAAAAGTATTCAGCTTAGTTAACCTTTTAACAAAAAACAATTCACATTGAAACTGGTACGCTCACAATTCACAAGTTAACTCTTTCTAAGGCTGTTCTTTCATTTACAGTTATCATGATGTGGTCATTACTGAACCAAAGGTCTGCTCTCCTTACTATAATGCTACACTGAACGAGTCACATTCCATCACCTTCAAGAAAATCACTAATACCTAATTGTTGAGTCTGTGGGGCCTTCATTGATTTCAATTCAGATATTATCACAAACTGTAACCACTCAGCAAACTACTGAAGACCAAGTGTCCTGCTCTAGTTTTCAGTCCTCAAGCACTGAGTATGCATAATCCCACCGGATACCGAGTCTATCAGTTACAAGTAGACACTTTGTCGCTCATCCATTGGTATTAATCTTTTTATTAATTTTTTGACAGTCTATATTATTTTCATCCCACAGAAAAACTCATAATTCAAACAAAATCTGACTAGCAGTTAGTGTCTAGTAAGTGCATCATCACAGTGAAAGAAAGCAAACGGAAACCAACACTTATCGTGGGAAGTGTCATGTTTCGCTATTTAAAGATACTAAAAACTTATAGACAAAAATAGTGCCTTCAAAGTTTCCTATCGCATTCCATCGAGTCTTTCGAACGGAGATCCAACCCGCCTTTTACACAGCCGAAGCTATGGGAATTAATTCGAGAGAACAATCGTAGTCTTTGCACACAGAAGAAGTTTGTTCTGCCTTTGTCTCTCACTTGACCTAGATAAAATTCTAATCAAAACCCTCCCACCTTGTCTTATTTTCCTTTTCCTTCGTACTTTAATGATATTTATTTAAACTCTGATTCTTAAAAACCATATGTATATATATATACGATTGTACGGCTTGATAATAAATTCGTTGAAAAGAGTCTCTTCGCTGAGTATTGTGTTATCTCTGATTATTTGTCCACTTCACCTTTAGTATTACGTAACTTTTAAGATTTGTTTGAATAAAGGACTAATACTTTGAGAAAGCTATTAGCATTAAATAGCGAAACATCAGTAAAAACAACATCGTCTTGTTTTCCATTCATTGGGAAATACAAAAAAACTTTATTATTATGAAAGGACTAATTGTTTTAATTTTAAGATTTGACCTAATTTATTTATTGAATTGTCTACAAATACACGTGTTATTTACTACCTTTGTTATTCTTATCGCTACCTGCGTAAACCTCATCGTTATTTTGTTATCATTATAATCATCGTTATGAATGACGTTCAAAACATCTAACAATTACTATTAGCATTAGTATTATCATTATTTGATCCACAAACTCACAGTCAATGGCTGAATTTGTTATGTATAAAGCCATAAAAACTAGGGCAAAGTCTGAAGATCTAATTGAGAACACTATTGTTAGCTTGTATTTCTCGTTCAAAACTTTAATAATGGGAATATTTAAGGAATAATTGTCAGTAGAAGCAAGTGCCTATAAAACGTTATCCCAAAGTGAAATATTGGTACAGTATCCCTTTTTTAAGCAAAATTCCATAAGAAATAAATATCAGAAACTTACTAGTTCCTCCAATTTCAACCGTCACTGAATGACTGACTTTACCGTACATGTTAACAGCTTCGCAGAGGAAAACGCCTGCATCTTCCATATTAACGTCTGCAATGAAATATAAAATCCCAATGAAAAGTAAGTTAATCTCTCCACACTTTCTCTTATTTTCAGAAGTAGTGGAACTTATTCGTTTGTCACCACTAATTTGGAAGTAAATCTTCTTCTGTGAAAAGCTTTTTACAGGCTAGTTAATAGAATACTAAAGGCTGTTTGGTTGATGAAGAAGACAGACATAAGTTGAAATGCATTTGGTCGCTTTGTACCTTAACTGATTGAAGCTTACTGTGTAAAATGTAGCTGGTGTATCTTTAAATTAACTCTATGTACCTAAACGCAACACTCATAATGAGTATAATAAATTGCATGTTGCATTTTCATAATGATAAAGATCACTGGTGTATTTCACTTGGTGGTCGGTTCAGATCACAAAACAAAGAAATCAGCTGTGAACAAAAAAAGATTTTTCTTTGACTTACTGTGAAGCAACATCCACTAAAGTCTAAATGAGCTAACTTCAGAAAGTGTTTTTACTATTTCAGTAATAAAATCAAATGATATTCGGAAATATGAGAATGGGTCTACATGTCTGAATGTAGAAAAGTACCAAGTAGGACAGAATTAGTCGGAGATGAACATAAATACTAAATATTCATTGAATAATTTGCGAAAATGTATGCTTCAAGTGTTGGTTTTTGTAGGGATTCTGTTTGATTAGATGGAGGATTTCATCATGTACTCGTGACCAGTAGGGTACAACAGGTTGAAGTTGAGGCAGTAACTCATCGAAGAAGACATTGCAAAATGGTCGCGTTATGTCATGAATTGGCAGAAGTTTGAATTCATAGGCCATTGGATTGGGCCACAGTGGCTCACTGGTCCACGAGATCGCTTGCCTTGTAACCAGAAGGTCATGGGTTCTAACCCCAGTGGGTGCGTATTGATAAAGAGTCCCAAAGTGGGACGAAACAGGTGTCGAGTACTCTCAAGTTTTCGAATGGTTCTCCAACTGATTTCAACTCATGATGAAATCCTCCATCCAGTCAAAATCTATGCTCTCAAAAATGAATGGACAAACAAATCTTTTAACTCTAACCTTTCAACTTCTAATATTATATTGGAAAAACCGATATGTTCTTTTTCATTTTTGAAGTCATTAAGTGGATACCTTATCAATAATCCCACAAGTTAAACAGAAGCAGAGAATGAAAGGTTAAAGATTTCTAATGGTCCAGTAGTTGTTCAAATTCTTGGAATGAGTAAACTTATGACTATGATGCAAACTGTTTTTAAATTAAAGGTTGATATTTGTTTCAGTATCCTATTTATAAAATGACTGTGGATAAATAAATTAATACAGGAAATTTGATAATCACAATGTTGGCTTTATTTATTTAACTGAAGATAAGGTTATTAAATTCAGAGTATGTTCAACTTTCTACTCAATTTAAACAAACAACAAAGATGAATAAAAATAGCAGTAAGCTATTTACACCAGCTGCATAACATTTGCAAACGCATACTAAATAGAAACCATTTCATTTTTGCGGTGTTTCATTTATATAGGCATTCTGAAATCGGCTGAGAAATCTGATGAATTCAACACTGAGAACAAACTTCGAGATTTCAACACCAGTGTTAAGTGACTGGTCAGAAACTTGGCGCATCAACAAAAGCATTTCCAACAGAATGCAGACTTTTATCAACAACTGCCTTTTCTAGCTGTATACTGAAGACCGAATGACTAGAGAGGATTAGCAGCAATGAACTCTATCAGGCAGCAAGCTAACCAAGAACTGAGTGCCCATGAAATAGGCTGAAGTAAGTGGAGGTGGATGGGAAACATGTTCAGGAGACCGCTGAGTGACATGGTGTGCCAGGCCCTCGTGGGAGACCCAAGATGGGGGTCCAAGGGTGACACCGATGAGACTGTGTGAGTAGGAGATTATAGACAATCGTGAACCATGTGGCCAGCTGAAGAGAACTGCAGAAAACAGGATGAAGTGGAAGTTTGCTGTTGACGCCCCTACGCCTAGGACCCCAGGGGAACAGTAGTGAAATTCAAGCAATTCACTTTAAAATAGAAACATTCGAATGTACAGAAATGAGCTACTTTAAAAAAATTAGGTGAAATCCCGCTTGATTGCTTAAACTAAATTAATATTTTATCGTTATATGGAAGTATTTTATCCACATTTAGAATCATACAACTTACCATGTATTAATAAAGAGTTGTCAGCTTGCAGAATATAACGATTACCAAAACTCAATGGAACATTCCCTGATCCAGTAACACGATACCATTTAACATTTGGTTGTGGTTGGCCAGTTACTGGACAACTCAAAGTTGTATCCATTGCGAATTCAGCCAACACCTTCGAACTAGTAATATCCGTAAGCACTTTTGGTGGGACTGAAAAATTCAAAAACAATTTGTGGTGCGTTTAAATACAAAATCAATACAAAATCTTATTTCAGGAAGTCTAACCATAAAGTATTTCAAATAAATTCATAATAAACCGGTTTCGATACGTACAAGACGTATGATAGTCATCCAAGAAATATCTGATAGATTACCGAGGAACCTCTGTTCTATCTTCATTTTCATCTTCTAATTTTTTGATACTCTGATTATTCAGGTGAATATTTTCATTTCTTTCAGATGGGCTGTGTTATTTATACAGGACTATGAGGACAAATTGATACAGACTTATTGGTAACATTTTATGATATTTTTTTATACATAGAACTAGATATATTAGATAATTGGAGGCAATCAATAGGAAGCCTTGGACCTAGGTTTCGTGCTAGTCGCCACTCGTCACCTTCAAAGAACTCATGTCTCTTCTGAGATTCGAAACCGCGTCACCCACTGAGTACTGCAGTCAGAGACGTTTCCATTGAGCTATTCGGGCTCGCGATTGACCTCCTGTAGGACTCTAGTGGGTAGTTTGATTGGACGTCCTGCCGATCACCTCCAACTATCTAATATCATCAAATCAATGTGCACCGTGATGGTGAGCTACCTAGAATGGTGGCCACATTGCAAACCTGACTTATAGAATTCAGTCTGCACCAGAAAAAGGACTAGACACGCCACATTAGTTTCTATTGTCCAATCAAACTATAGAACTAGATATTCATCACTTGTCAACGGACTGTTATTCGAAGGCAGTCGTCATGAAACACAGGACACATTAATTCGTGTTAATTCACTTACTAACCAAAGTTTAAAACTGATTAAAATAATTCATTCAGCATCGAATTCCCGGTAAAGTACACCATTAAATGACAATATTAGACGATTCATTTATTAAAATCTCTTTAATCTCGAGAATTCCAACGGGAATCGTACCATGCCCGGTAGTTCAGAAAACAGAGGAGAAAATAGTTCAACAGGCTGTAAATATTCCACGTTTACATATTCAGAAAAAAACTGGTTTATTTGTGGAAACGTGACAATAACAATATTCACAATAGCCATAAATTCAATATCCACAGCGATTAATAAACTGAAACTTACATCCAACATCCATTAGCACAGATTCTCGTGTATAACCAGCAATATTTTCAGCAAGACATGTCCATTCGCCCTTCATATCCTGACGAACTGAAAGTAGTTTCAAGACTCCTGACTCTTCATCAATACGTATACCGGGACTACTAGTAACCTGTATTTTAAGAGCATTAACAAAGAAAACACAATTATTTAAGAGTTAGCAGACAACCAATCTCATATTTTTTCGTTATCGAAAACATTTAAAGAGGAATGGTAGTAAATGCTTGTTCATTTTTACTTATGGGATGAATTCCCATATTAACTGATATTGTCCCGCTGTAATGAGTACCTCTTTAAATGAGGAATAAATTATTGTGACATTTTAGTTTGAAGCTTGACAGAGAAATGAAGGATCTTAGATACAATGTTCATGAAGACTACGAGTACATGAATGCTAATGTGCATAATTACTAATGATTTTAATTTCATCTTGTTAGGTATATTTCAGTTTTGCTGAATTACTATTAGGTGCAGATAATCTTTTCTTTCAGTAAAGACGTGGTTAATTAACCTAAGATGCCCATAGGTCCGCTGTTTGTATCTCTTCTTACCGTATGCATCTTGACTTACCATGTGATATCATCGTCCCTGGAATTACCCTTTATTTTTGTTCCCTTTGGCTCCAAATGGGACAGAGGGCTTCATCAACACACCTCCGGCTTGTTCTATTTTCTGCTGTTCTCTTTAGCTGGATCCAAGACTGCCCATAACCTGCGATCTCCTTCACATCGCCCTCCTACCGACTATCCCCTCGTCGCTTCCTATTTGAATTCCACTGGAGCAATGGCCTGGACTGCTGGCGATATCATTCGATCGTCTCCTCAATGTATGCCTGATTCATCTCCATTCTATCCTACATATTTTTTTGAGCGATCTGCTCTTGTCCGCTGGTTTGTTCCCATAGTTTCTTGTTACTAATTCTTTCCGGCCAGACATTTGGTCTTCACTATGGAGCCAGAGAAGGTAGCTGTTGATGCAAGCCTGCAACCTTTTGGAAATCCTTTTTGCTACACACCACCCAAGTTTCTGACCCATATGGAGGGACTGACTGCCTTCACGTTTGTGCTGAAAATTGGAATCTTGTTCTTTACTCTGGCTGAGTGCAGTGCAGAAGATTTCCAAACTGGTTTCAGGTTGATGAAGGCATACGTATCTTGCCTTTTCGATTCTGACTGACTGGCTGGCTCTGACATCTTTATCCATCCCGCTGTCTGTAGTTGGAACGATGCTTCCTAGATAAGTGAAGCAAATAATCTCTGTTAAATCCCTCCTGTTGATGGCGACTGGTACTAATTGTTGCTGTTGATAGAAAGGAAGGAAGCCATCCTTGACACAACCTAGTCATAATATACTTTTTTGGTGAATAAGAGTAATGATTTAGCAAAGAATCAATTAGATTATAAGCTTACCGGGCTACCATTGAAATCCCATTTTACTTTAGGTTTTGGTTTGCCAGAGACATGACATGTAAATGTTTGTTCTTGGCCTTCTACTGGTAGGGGAGTAGATATTTCCAGTTTATCAATTTTCGGAGATGATATAAAATTAGCAGTAATCTGTATTGTACTATTGCCAGCTGAATTAATAGCTATGCATGAATAGTCACCAGCATCACTAGATTTTGCAGGACGAATAATTAATCTTGACTCCTTTAATGAAGAAAACGATAGATATGTAAAAAGGTTTGGTTAGTTAGATTAAAACTGTTTACTTGGAATTTTTAAAAGTGAGATTAATCATTAATATTTAGGTACTGAAGGGGATAAAATTATTTCAGACGCAAGAATTCGCTGTACTAGGTAAGCGATAGCTCGAATCTGGCTAATTTTATTTTAACCTGAACATACACAAGAATAACCATTGCAGAATTATTATTAACAATTATTTGTGATAAGAAAACTCTGTTAGTGACTTATGAAGTACATTAGGCTATCGTCATTTACGTAAAAAACAGTAGCTGGGGCTAATGCATACCAGACTGAGATATTAGCACGTTAGCTATGTTACAATATGCAGAAGAAATGTGAACATATTACTTAATACTAGACATTTCATAATTAATGTTATTGACAGTAACAATAATAATAATTGCATTATTCTGAATAGCGCTTTCATACACGGTACATAGTTTTCATCGTATTTTATTGCAAAACATTTATTCTTTGTGTGTGAAATAATAATAATGGATAGTACATCATTTTTAGCGATATGTCCGAGGCACGTTTCAGTATTCCGTAATATCTTTCCTTCACTTATGTCACTGAGGGTACAAATTGTAATACAGGGATATAACTCAACGATTAAAAAGTTATTAAATAGGGTGGACTTTGTGCATTGTACTGGGTAGAACAACAGGTAGCTCAGGTATTTAAACAGAGCGGTTTATCCTATTTAAAATTACGAAATATGCTTTAAACGACCTCTGTTTAGTGATAATATGTCATTCTGTAGTTTGTAAGGTATAAATTCATTTGCTGTAAAATATAACTCTGCTGGGCAAAATCATAATGGCACTCATAATAACTGGTGATTGTTGATAAAATATTAAAGTACACATTCAGGTAGGGTTAGGTGATGATAAAAACCAAATGAACACTCTTGGTTGCCATCATACTTTCCTGTACGGGTGAAGTGATAATACATTCTTGTTAGTTATGGGAAAAAATGTCTTCTGCTCTAATGGATCATATGTGTAGATATGTAGATACTTGAGTGTTCTGGACTTCATAGTCAACCCTAACTGAGGGCTGCTGAGACACGTTCTTCCTCTCATCGGAAAATCCTACTCTAAATCCCTCATGTAAAGCGTATGTAATCATTTAGATTACTCTTCTTATTCTTTACGTTCCCAGGAGAATGTAGAGCTTCAAGCTACAGCTTTGAGGTTTCAGTAGCAGAGGTGTTTGTTTTTACAAGGTGAAGTTGTTAGTCTCATGTCAAACCTTCCCTCTCTACCGGTCTTATCATCAGCTTCACGATGTAAAGGGGTGTGTCGGGCATGGGGCGAACCCCAGAGCACTCACGTGGTTAGTGAACATTCTACCGCTAAGCTGCCGACACACATTTTGATTATTATTATTATTGGACCAATAAAAATAAAATAACGAATAATAAAAGCAAAGGAAACTTACAAAAAATTCCTCAATCACTGTAATACGCTGATCATCATCAGTGGATATTGTAATCGGTACATTATTATAAGCCCATATAATTTTAGGTTTTGGTGCTCCTTCTGAACGACAACTCATGACCAGTGCACTTCCCTCTTTGAATGTAACTGTTTCTTCGTCAGCAGTTACAATAGGACGAGCTATATTTTGGGATAAAAGAGTTATACAAAAGAGAAAAATGAGATTTATGCCCACTTTTAACTTCACCTGAGTTTCCATTCAGTTTTCTTAATTTTGCAAATAGTTCCTACATTAAAACAGATGCCACCTGGCTTATGAAAAATAAGTGAGAATAAATTAAGCACTCGTAATACAAGTCGAGTTTAAATTATGATAGATATGCGTATACATATACATATGAAAAGATTTATTATTCATGAATGAACATACATCAGAGTACTACAGAGGGTTATTGTGGATCCTAAATTGACTACCTACTGATTCAATGCTGGTCGTTTGGGAAGTCAACGGATCTCAAGTCAGATTCCGTTACTAATTAACACTAGTGGAAGAAACATGGAAATTCAGGGAGTAATAGGAAGATTCTTTACACGCAGTTGTGTTTTTTAGCAGCACTCGTCTACTACCTCATAAGGAATCGAGCTTAGTAATATTGTTTCTTTGCACCAAAATGCGGTTAGAGATAAGAAAAATGGATGAAACTGAATTAATTAAATATTAACTAAACAAACTGCTATTGCACTTCCGGATGCTGGCGGTGTTTTAAGTTTTGTTTGAACTCATATGCATCCAAGCAGGCCTTTCACATCACTTTAAACTTCCTATATGTGTTGATTGAGACAGATACGCAGAATCCCGTCAGCAGACGAATTTATTAATTCACCTTTTCCCTAAAATCATTTTAACCTATTTTCTGCTTAAATATATTAATCTTTCGAGCAGACGTCTGAGTAATTTGGTGTCTTGATTCATGTTTCAGTATCAGGACTTAGAATTTAAGTAGGCTGCTAATTGGATAGTGGAGCACACTGAATTTAGTAAGACTGGTAATTGTTGCGTAATAATAATTATTATTATTATTTTTGATTGCAGCTAGTAGAAGTAAGGAATTTTCAGCATGTGATATCGGTAGCCCAAGTTTTACAGGCCAACCATTGATATCGGGCATGTGTCGGCAGAAGATCGAACCCCGGACCATGTGCATGGTAGGCGAGAGTCCTAACCACTGTGCCACCGATGTACAATAATGTATTAACACATGCAGTCCCTTACAGCTGTCTCATCCAACAAGTGGTCTGAACTCCAGTAAATTACGTTTCTTTCGTCTGATGATTTATTATATAAAACAATGTCCATATGGCGTAACTAGTAAATAATTCCCATTGCATAGCATTTATTGTTGAGTTATATATATATATATATATATATATACTCAATATAGTAGGAAAATAGTACTCTATATTCTAGTGGATATCCATCCTATTGGCACTTCAGACTAAAGTTGAATCAAGTATTCTAATGTCTTGTTTTTGCCACTGCATTTTATTTAATCGTAGCTTTAAATGATACTAATAATAACCGTCAGCATTTACAAGTGATGGCAGGCTACCTAGAATCGTGGCTACATTGCAAACCTGACTGATAGAATTCAGTCCGCACTAGAAAAAGGACTAGACACATCACACTAGTTACTAGTGTCCAATCAATATACCCACTACAGTCCTGCCGTAGGTCAATCGTGAGCCCGAATAGCTCGGTGGTAACATCTCTGGCTGCAGTACTCAGTGGGTGACGCGGGCTTGAATCTCAGAAGAGACATGAGTTCCTTCAAGGTTGCAGATACGCCTTGCTGATGAGTGCCAACCTAGGTCCAAGGCTTCCTGTTGATTGCCTCCAACTATGTAATGCCATCAAAAACCCAAAGGTTCAGTATGGTAGTGTAATGAATAAATTGTTTGGGAAACCCTTCCTTGACTATCCATTTATAATATGCATACCCATATAGATGTTTCAACTAACTTTGCAATCATTACATTATTTTCCTCAGATTTTATATCATCAATTTGACATTTGCACATCACACGTGGATTCTGACGTATACCATTTGCCTCTGTCCTTGTTTTGTTTTAAATTATAATACTTCTCTTTGTGGTTGTGTACATTGACAAGGAGTTATTTAACAATATGAGTTTGTTTAAGTGAATGAAGGTCATTCTGATCCTGGACTGTCTGCCTGGAGCGTTGATGTGTGATTCTTGTGGACAGAGCTCTTGATTCCACCTTTTTGGAGACATTCTCCTTGATTCTAAGGTACATTTTATGTTTGAACTTTGGTTAACCAATTTTGTTTTACAGTACTTGTTTTGTATTTAGAAACCTGTATATCTGCCTGTATAGCTGCCCCACAGTAATGTTAAGGTAGATTTGGGTCTCAGTTTTATTATTGTTTTTAGTAGAACTGCTAAAATATTGAAGAATAATCGTCTACTGCCTGCTTTTAGGGATGTTTTATGACAGCGCATGTCTCAGCGAAGTTTTGCCGACTATACAGTAGAACGTATAAATCGATTTCTCGCGTTCAGGCCATAACCGAATAAATTTTATCTTTACAGATGGCACTTGAGAAATTCTGGAAAAATGCTTATGGTATCTCAATTGAATCATGAAAAGTTTCATTCATGCATTAAATAATTTGTAGAAAGGTGATTCACTGTTTTAAGCACTTGACTTATAGTCGATTAGTCCAGGTTTCAAACCCCTTTATACCTACTTCGACCTGGACAACTAGGTTGCTTCATCCATCCTCACTTACTAAGTGTGACTCATATAGCCTAGTGCATGAAAAATGTAACTGAGGTAGTCAATTACAGAAGTCTTTAAGCAATACATCAGGCGGAAATTATGGAATAACTAGATATTGATTAATTCATATTTTTGAAACAAGATATGTAAACAGTTGAAAAGCATGAGGATAAACTAAATAGGATACTCAATCAAGTCTTAGTAAGATGCACTAATTCTGTGCAAAGCAAGTAACGTTATGCAGCAGAAGAAGCACTCGCTGAAGAAAAAATTCTTCTGGTGCTCATTTTTCTTTGCTATAGTAAATTTTTCAATGGAAATTAACCAAACTGTCTTATGCTAGTTTGCTTTTTTTTTTCTAATATTATATATGGCTCATGTATCTCAAATTTTTATAACTTACTATGAATAAGAAGAAATCCATCAGCTTCACTGACTCCACCTTTGTGTTCTGCTTCACAAATATACTTTCCTGAGTCACTTTCCGTTGCAGTTCTTTTTAAAGATTTTTGGAAAACAGAAAAATAATAAACTCATAACTGTAACTGACAAAATGATAATGAATATAATTAATTCACCTAGGGTTACTAGAAGTAACTTCAAAACACTACATAGTAATCGAAATTTCACATATGTACTGCTTACCCCCAGTCCTTGCCTTTTATTTTCTGCAGTAATTAAACATTTTTTCACTTTAAATGTCCGTGATAAGAATTTTGATTTTATATTCAGTCTCGGATAGTTGAAGACAGTCGTTAGGAAGTCTTGCACTAGTTGAAGAACCATTAAAAACCGGAGGGTCACAGTTTGGGAAATTTTTGTAAACGACGTCAGCTCTCGATCTAACCTCAATTCACTGGAATCCCTGCTAACTAAGACTTTAAATTTAACCTACTCGTCACTAGCGACTGACTGCAGGATGGAGTACCTGGAGTTCTAGTTAGAAGTTGTGACAAGTTATATCCATCAAGATGCAGTGAGGACAACTACTTCCCTGTAACACTGGCTGGCAATAGGGTTGTATATCACGATTTGATAGAAGTTAAAATCCATGGGCCATTTCATTACGTTGGAGGGGCTGAACGGCTAACGGGCTCGCCTCATAACCTGAAACTCCCGGATACAACCTCTGATGGGTTCACACATGCATACTACTGAAGAATCGGAAACTGTACCACACAACTGTTCAGCACTCTACAGTTTTAAACGGTTTTCTAATGGACATCAGTTCGTGACCGAACTTAAAATATTCTAAAGATAAATTAAATGATATCCGCAGTCATATTTAAACATTTCCCATCTAACGCCTCTGAAACTCTCCAGTATAATCTATAATTTCTATCTGACGTAGGATAATTAGTAGAGACTTATACTAAATAAAAAAACTGTCAATCGCGAATAACACTAGCCCAGTAAAGATCGTTTAAAAAATAGACTATGCGAATAATGCTGCCAAACATAGGTTCTGGATAAGGGGATTCACTGTAACTCCAAGATTCCTTACGTCTAAAAAGACTAGTAAAGTTTCCTTTTTGGAACAATTCACATAAAAGCTATTTTCAAAAGATATAAATCGTAAATAATGAATAAACATTCAACTGACACCTATCTGTTACTTTTTGAAGCATACCTTATTGTCAATGTACTTGTGAATGCGGATGCTAAACCACCTGGAGGATTGTCCTGATTCAAACTAATTGTATGCCTTCGTCCATTTTTCAATTCGAATCTTGGTTCCAGACCTCGATACCATTTAACTTCAACATTTTCATGTAAACTAAATATATTACAAATGAGTACAGCGTCTGTTCTCGGTTCAACACTTGCATTACGTGGTATTAGAACACGTGGAGGAGGAGCTGTAATGAGGAAAATGTGCTTGATAAGTAAATTAAATTCTTCATTTAATTATGTCAAACGTTTCTATTTGCTCGATCTATAATCTATGTGCTGATTAAATGCGCAAGCATTGCTCCAGGTAAAGACTATGACAGTTATATTTACAAAAGTATAAACAAAATGCATATGATCCTAATAAATATGATAGTGGATTCAGCGCATAGAACAGATATAATTGTAATTAACTGACTAGCAGAATTCATAATATTATATAGAAACGTTAACATAAGAATATAACTTGGGAACTGTAGTACAGTATGATTCCATCTTTGAGTAAATTTATGCTGATAATGTCTCACAGTGTTATACAGCAATATTTACTGATGACATTTCCAAGTTGGAAAGTTCTGTGAGTGCTTTGATTTGATTATGGGCAATCAATTGTGCTCGAAAGGTCATCAGTAAATAATACTGCATAACACTGTAAGACTTTATCAAATTGAATTTTGCTCTGAACGTTAACAGCAGAAAATTCCTATAATTTGCTAGTAACAATGCAAGCTGTTTCTCTGTTATATGATGAAATAGTGCTAATCATGATTGACTTACCAACTTGCTTACATTGAGTTGTACATTCAAGACAAGAGAGGAGGAGTTGATGGTAAATAACTAATCATTTGAGTAATAGTGTGATGAGTTTAGGTTAAGTCGTAAAAAAACAGAAAATGAAACAAACTAAATTTTATGTTAAAGCAAATCTTCACTTCTTGTCATGATTGTGCAACTCAATTTTCAATGCATCCAAACATTAATTTTGTATGTTTGCATTTTGTTTAAATTACAATAACTTATATTAGTGTAACTTCTGAGCATTATTTATTAATTATGTCTTTTTGTTAGCCAAAAATCATGTAATGCTTGAAAGCACGTCAAGATTTCTCTGTACATGTATATAATGAACTTTCAGGTTGTACGTAGCTGAAGAGAAACCAATTAAATAAACGATTGTATCAACTTATTCTTCACAGACATTTGTTTTACGTTAACTTGTCTTTGTAGCAGGAAACATTACGTCTTGAAGGGCGTTGCTATATAAATCTCATTACCACTCACCTCTAGTCGTTGCATAGTAGGACAACAGTGTGTATTTAATTGGACTACACTTCTGAACAGAAACATGCGTAAAGAAGTAGTGTTTGCTTAACAGGTTGACGCATTAAGAATTTCAGAAACTTCAGTCGCTACGTTCTAACTAAATTCTGCGTAAAACGTAATTTTTGTTGAATAAGGCATTCGTTTCATAGTAGGATTATACAATCATCTTCCTAGGATGACTTGACAAAGTCATCAACGTAGAATTCTGCGCATAAGTGTAGCAGTTCAAGTTGTGACTGTTCGATATATTACACACAAAAGTAGTGGAAGTAAATGAAACGAAACTACAAGAGATAGGTATATATGGAAAAAAAGTGTAACCAAATAAAGACCTGTGTTATTTCAGGAAATGGACAATAGTAGGAAGTGAAAACATTTGAATCACTTAAAAACAGTCTCCAAGCATTGATTCTTAGCTTTCCTTGAACACTAGTCAGACAGTCTACACCCTGTACATGGATCAGACTAACAGTCACAGTCTCCATGAACTAATCTCATTTTTATTTAACTATTGGTTTGTAGGGACTTGGTTGATTGGTTACCGGATTTCATCATGAGCTGACATTGGTTAGAGAACCATTGGAAAACCAATGTCAGCTCATCATGAAATCCTGTAAGCAATTGACCAAATCCCTACAAACCAACGCTTGAATATCAATGAGATGCTCACTGGTGACTGGCCTTCTTCAGATAGGTAGTTACCTGGGTTCTAGTGGGAAGTCGTGACCTGTAGGGTGCAGCGGGTCGGGTGTGAGGACAAATACTCGCCGAAGACATTGGCTAGCGGTCGCGCTATGTCGTGAATTGGTAGAAGTTAGAATTCATGGATTGGCCATTGGGTCGGGTCCCAGTGGCTCAATGGTATACGAGCTCGCCTTGTAACCAGAAGGTCCTGGGTTCGAATCCCGGTGGGTGCGTACTGCGTACTGAGGAGTCCCAAACTAGGATGAAACAGCTGTCCAGTACTCCCAGGTTTTCAATGGTTCTTTGACTAATGTCAACTCAACTCTAATCTCAATTTCGTTCCATGATTTTTGTCTCATTTTCATAAGAACAAGTAACTGGCTACTAGTTTTTCAATTACTTAAACTGTAAAAGTAACTATAACCAGTTTATAAATAGGATAAGCAGCAACTGGGTTATCCTTTAAGTATATTGCTGATTACCACTTAACTACTTAATTATATTAAGTAGTAAGCAGATCATAGTAAACAACTGGATGTATAGCCACTAGTCTTCACTTTTACTGATTGAAAATTTTAGGGAAAAAAATCAAATGTCTAAGAAGCAATATATGCTTTATATTTGTTTAAAAAAGAAAGAATAATAGGCTTACTGTAATCTAATCGTTTCAACTTCTGTCTAGTTTCTTATTCACCTCAGTCATTACTACTACCGTAGAATCCTTTTCATGACGACTGAATAAGGTCGACTGCACTATTTCCCTCTTGGCTCCCTTAACCTTACTTTACACTTCTTATGTATAGTTTTTATAAAACATTTTCAGTAAAAAAAAACTCAGAAAAATGGATGGAACATTTACTGGAAACTACATAACTTGTAGATCTCGCGAACAATCCTAAAAATTTTTAGAAACACATGGTAGTTTTCTGAAGATAATAATAATAATGATTTACTTTATTCCAAAAACGGTACTTGTGATACAGAATGGAATTTTCAGCATTAATCACAATATTACTGCATCTAATTTCCTCAAATTATAAACAAGAATTAATCACACACAAAATTTTCCACATTTACAATAGAGGTAGTGTCAAAAACATGCAGCATATAGAATGGAAATAACAATAATAATGATAACAGCTAGGGTAATAATAATAAGAATACAAGTGAAAATTGCCGTGGGCTTGTGTCACACAGTATTGGCAATGTGGTATAGAAATCCTAACATGTTTAAATATATTGAATATAATGTTCTTTTTACGTGATATGGTGAGGGGAAAAACAAAGATTACAGCCGTCATGGAGATAAGTTGGTGTTTGCAATTATGCGAGAGAGTAAAACAGAGAAGTAACAGGACCATAAATATAATAGAAATAATAAAAGTAACACTTCAAGGTATATAAGGATGGATGGAGGAAATTGTTTATTTACTAGATGAAAAAGGTTAGTTAATTCTTGCCTGACACTATTTTCATCACATAAAATACGTGCCAAGTATGGTATCATAGAATTTTTATACTTAGACGTGCGAGCATACAGTTTTCTGAAGTTACTCCTTGTTCTACCTGAGGAGATGCAAGGTGAAAGCTGAGGGTAAAGCGGATGCTCCAAGTCAGACAAAATCCCTTTAGCAAATTTATTTCTAGGAAAATCTGAAATTGATTGCAAGTACTCATTGTAGGTGAAAAACAGCTCGTACCACGTTCAGAGTCAGCACACTTTATCTCACCGTTCCTGTAACCTTGTTTTTTATTCACTAAGACATAAGAATACTTATCAATATACTTCATCTAGCTTTGCTTGTTCCACAACCGTATAATTACTTAGCATGTAACTGCTGCATTTCACTGATGAGGTGTCGACTAACTGTTCTTTAGATGTATGAAGGTAATATGATTTTTTTCAAGAGAATCCTCTTGCATTTCTCTACCAATAACCGATTGTTCATATTCTGTTAATTCTGTGTTCTAGTTTCAATGGTAAACATTCACACTGCACATAAACAGTCATGTCGACTCAATAAAATTCATTATGCGAATAGAGAATGAAATTGGGGAACTGCCTATGTTAGACTGCAAAATACAAAGAGTAACAGATGGTAGCATGCAAACGACGCTATATAGAAAACCTACACACTCTGGAAGATTCCTTGATTATCACTGAGCTCATCCACCCACGGTAAAATGAGGATTAATACAAGGTCTTGCAGATAGAATACTCAGACTTACAGCAACACCAGAACACCAGCGTAAAGAAATAAACGTCCTATTCAAAATGTTACTCGACAACGACTACCCAAAAGAATTTACCAAAGATAATATAAAAAAGAGGAAAATGAGGATAAAACTGGAGAATAACGAGACGGAAGAATGCAAACAAACAGTCACAACACCATACAAAAACGGTATATCAGAGGTAATTCGAAGAAACCTCAAAGATATTGGGATTCGCACTACATGTAAACCGACGAATCCAATCAAAAATAAAATAAATCAACTGAAAGATCCCATAAAAATGATGGATAAAAACAATGTGATTTATAAAATATCTTGTGCCGAGTGTCCGACCTAAATATGTGGGTCAAATGTCCAGATCATTCAAAATAAGAGTGAATGAACGTAAACGCCTGTCTAACCAAAGATCAACCAACAGGAATACAAGCTTACAAAAATTTAGAAAAAAATTCAGCTATAGCTACACATGCATGGGACAAAAGCCACAATATCGATTGGAACAATGTTTGTATTCTAAATATGAACTAATCTGAACAAATGGAAAGAGAGACTTATAACAGAATTTATATTCATTAAGGTCACGCGGCATACATGTAACAAGTATGACTCAGTACAACTGTCAACAACTTGGAATATAATTCTGAATACACAAAAATGAATAAACAAAAACAAAAAATGAACTGTATACGTGAATACAAATCATAAATGTGTGAATTAAAAAACAAAACAATCCCAACAGTAATTTAGCTCGAAATATTACCAATAACAAAACTTATCATTGTGTGTAAACCATTGGAATATAATTATACTTTATTTGATCTATTCCACAATGTATGGAGGATTTAATCATGAGCTGATATCAGTTAGAGAACCACTGGAAAACCTGGGAGTACTGGACAGCTGTTTCATCCTAGTTTGGGACTCCTCAGCAGTACGCACCCACCGGGATTCAAACCCAGGACCTTCTGGTTACAAGGCGAGCTCGTATACCATTGAGCCATTGGGACCCGATCCAATGGCCAGTCCATGAATTCTAACTTCTACCAATTCACGACATAGCACGACCACTTAGCAATGTCTTCTTCGATGAGCTACTGCCTCATCTTCGACCCGCTGCACCCTACTGGTTACGACTTCCCACTAGAACCCCAGGTTAACTGCCTGAATAGGGCCAGTCGCTAGTGAGCATCAGATTAATTTTCAAGTATTGGTTTTGTGGGAATTTTGTTTGATTGATTGGGGGATTTTAAACCCTGGTTATGGCTTCGTATTGATGAAGAATCCCGAACTAGGATGAAACGGCTGTCCAGTACTCCCAAATCCCTACAAAACCAATACTTGAGAATAATCCACAATGCTCAAACTTTTTACGGACATTAATTCCTAAGTGTATTACAACTGCTGTAGTTATTTGTTTCGCTTAATAAAACAGTAGTACTGATGAAAACTTACGTAGTATGATGACGGATACTTCATCTTGATATTGCCCTTCAATCTTTTTCTCACCATCCGTAATTGTAGGTACAACTTCTACCGTATAAATCCCTTGGGATTCTTCATTTGCGTCAGTAATAGTGTACATAACACTAGTTGGAAAGCTTAAACAGAATGAATATAAAGGAACATTATCCTTCTATGTCAGAAAGACAAGGGTCTTTAAAATTTCAAAAAATAATACAGTTAATTTAAAAGCATATTTTTAATACTGAAAAAATGTGAAAAGAAACTTCCATTCTTTCAGGCTGCTTATCAAATGTGTTCAGTGGTTTAAATAGAGAAACGGATAAGAAATTCATATTTTATATATTAAATCCCACTTTTTATTCACCATTTCTCAGCCCACTAGTCATCTTTACTCAGGTGTGAAAACACAGTGACTATCTGTCCCACTTCTGTGTACGTCTAAAATTCTGGCTATGCATAGCGAAAAACCAGGCAACATGAAATAATCATTCTGATCACTAACGCTGTGGATGCACTTGTATCAAGCTGATGAACTTTAAGTAGAATGAAAACCATACCATGCATTCCATCGCTAGTCAATATGAGGCAAAGGAAACTGGATAACCCAACATATATATATATATATACGTATATGTATATCAGTTTCGACACCGTACAGGTAATATTTCCCAAAATGTTGTTGAAAATTCCCCACCTTCATGGTTTTGTAATATCACGGGAACATTAAGAATTAACATTTCCATTCCGTTAGGATTTAATAAATATCTACTTCCAGGTTATATTGACTCACTTGTACACCTTGTTCTCGTCAGGATATCCTGTAATAGCTTGTTTATCTTTAAACCATTTAACCGTATAGGGGATTTCACTTGTTACAGTACATGATAATTCTGCTGTAGCTCCTCTTCTAACATCAACTTGAGCCGGACATGTGACGACAATTTGTTGTGGTTGCCTAGATGATAACGCTACCTTAGAACAACGTTGGAATGGATAGCCTTGTCCATCTCTTCCAGATACCTGTGAAAATTAACAAGAAGAAAACATCTTTTATTATATAAGTTGAAATCGTCTACTCTATTACTGAAGCAAAGACATGTTTTTTATTTTTTTTTTTTTGATTTACAGCTTGATTCCACACTGTATTTTTGGTACAAGTATGGAATTTTCAGCATGGATATCGGTAGCCCAAATTTTGCAGGCCGACCATAGATATCAGGTGTGCGCCGGCGTGGGCTCGAACCCCGGACCATGTGCATGGTCGGCGAGAGTCCTAACCACTGTGCCACCGACCACTGTTCTACGATTGTGAAATCGATGAGAATTAACTTCTTATACATTGGTAGTATAAGTCAACTCATAGACGGTTTGTTATTTGATATAAACTATACAGTATGTCATAGCAACTGAATCATAGTTACGAGCAGTTTGCTTCTCTTTCAGATGCGTACCCCTGACAGATGTTAGTAGTCGGTAATGAGTTATGATCTACTAGATCTAGATCAACTATCTAGATCCAAGTGATATAAGAATATCAGACACTTTCACTTGTTTGGTTACCCTTTTTAATTCAACCAGGAGTTTTAAGTCACTTTTAAGTGTTCAGGGGACTCACTTAGCTTACCTGCCTGGAATACTGACTCTACCTATAGTATCAAAAAACTTGTTTATTTTCATATGAATGCTTTTGTTTTCTAAGTAGCACAGCGTTAAAACTTCATTCTGTAATCTGGAGACAGGAAACGCTAAATTTAATTCCAAGTCATCTATAGTTCTCAATAATATGGACACATTCTAGTTAAAGCTTAGCAATAATAAGAGATTATCTTATATTCCTTGTTTTAACGTTCTGGAAGTTGTTTTTTTCCTTCACGTTCGCCAGTGGAACATAGGGCTTCAAGCTAGTGCCTCGAAATTTCTGTAGCAGTGTTTATTTTTAGAGGATGGGGTTGCTACCCTCATGCCCAACCTTTCCTCTTTACCAGCATTACTTCTGGCTTAGCGAGGTAAAGGAGTTTGTCGATCGGGAATCGAACCCCGAACCATGTGCATGGTCGGCGAGCGCCCTAATCGCTGTGCCGCTGAAGCACTGTTCTGGAAGTAGATATGAAGAAACACCTATCAGAAATTTAATATTCGTACGTTGAAAATTGCCTGGACTCACTTGGAATGCTGTTTATAAACTATCTGAGCTTGCCTTGTAACAAGAAAGTCATAGGTTCGAACCGAAGTAGGTGTGTACTCCCGATGAATACCAAACTAGGGCATAACAGCTGTCCAGTACTCCCCGGTTTTCAGGGGTTCTCTAACTGTGATATCAATCCATAATCGAACTTGAAACAAATCAAATCCCTACAAATCGATCCTTTATTTGTTAAGTCAACACAGGTAGACATAAGACACACTATTAGTCAGTGTTTATGATGTTAGCTGTGAACTAATAATATTCATTCTTGACTTGCGTCAAAAACCGCCTCATTTATACCTTTTTATTACTTCGATGGTTAGATAAACCAGTTTTCTTTACATTAAACTTTGCAGGTACTAGTTTTCTAAAGTAATCAGGTAAATATTTACACTTTCTTTAATTCACATTTTATCCTAGAAGAATGAATTTACCCTTCCCAATCAACCATTTATGTCTTCTAAGTACTGTGGGAACACTTTCCAAGTAATGACGTATATATTAATGTGTGCTGAATTACTGTGGATATATGGTAATGGTCTTTCACTTCATAATCAGCAGAATGCCAAAATAAAGATTATCCCGTCATTTCGTTTAATTTATTTTGTTTTTTGATGTTCACTTTGTCTAGTTTTTACCAATGTTTTTATTTCTATGATAGATATCAACAGTTTTATAAGCTGTAAGACAGCACAATAAATTATATATACTATGTAGCTATTTTTAACCGATTATTTTAGAATACTATGTGGCAACAAAAACACTGGTACTACAAAATGCAAACTAATTAAAAACATAGGCTTATCAAAGTTTGGAGATATAATTGTAATTTTAATTATACCGGAATTACACAGTGCGTCGGTGTTGTGGAAGTAGAATGCCCACCAACAACTCATATTTTCCGGAGATCGACCCCCGATGGACTCACTCGTAAACCTTGCTTAGCCGGTATTAAACCCGTAAAAATAAAACTGCTGCTCCTGAGACTTTTAAGCTTCAGTTTGAAGCCCTATGTTCCACTCAAAACGCAAAGGAACAAAAAATGTGTTACACCAATTTATTAGATTACCGACAGTTTTTCACTGGAATACTGTTTCATGAACTTTCTAGTTGCTGGTTGCCTAGAAGTACTCTGAGATTATTATTAGCTGTACTTGTTTGTGTTTAGCAGAGACCAGCAGTGTGATACAGAATGTGGATTCGCCCTCAACACTGAATTCATCAACAGGATGGATTAGAAGGTTTTAAGGTTCTTTTTTTGAGACTGAAACCCAGTCTGTATAATTTTAAATAGTGGAATACTATCAACTGGCTATTGGGGTACGAAAAAACACCATTAGGCATTAAAACATAGATGCTAAATTCAAGATGGTGTCGAAGATTCACTTCGAGCAATTAGTATGTGAACATAACCTGATCAGTCTGAAGCTACAAGATCGACCTCATGAAACCATGAATGAAAGAAGATAAAAAACGAAACATCTTTATTATCGTCTTTCTCTTTTAGCACCATGAATTTCAAAAAACCTATTCACCCGAGTATAACAGTGGTAAAAGTCACACGTTTTCTCACCTTTGCTTTTTCCTATGACAGTATTTCAAGAACAATCAAACATATGCAAATTGTCAACTAATCTCAAAGTAATAATATTTCAATAATCCAACATCTACCAATTAATGTGGGGTATAGCGGGTCAGGTGTGAGGACAAAATACTCGCCGATAACATTGGCTAATGCTAGCGCTGTGTCGTGAATTGGCAAAAGTAAGAATTTATGGGCCATTGGAAAAGGTCCCGATGGCTTAATGGTCTACGAGCTCTCCTTGCAACCGGAAGGTGCTGGATTCGGACCTTGCTGGTTACATACTCATAAAGAGTCTCAAACTATCAGGAAATAGCTGTCCAGTACTCCTAGGTTTTCCGATGGTTCTCTAACCGATGTCAGGTCATGATGAATTCCTGTAACCAATCAAATCCCTACAAACCAATACTTGAATAGTATGGATCCGCTTGCTGATTGCCCCTAAGTCTTTATATGGAAATCGTTCACTCCTATTTTGTAGTCTCGTCATGGTCAATATCCTGATGAGGAGTTTAATCTTTCTATTCAACACGTGTGTCGTTAAGGCGAAGCTATTAACCTTTCACTAGTGTTCGTATTTTAGGTATTTGGTTGCTGCTAAAAATTGAGGCGGATTATATGAGGCTTATGTAACAGTGATACCGAAATGATGCAGACTCTTTTTTGAACTTTCCAAAAGATTTACACCATATAAGACTCAATGAACTGTTAAAATTTATCTCAGAATTGTTCAAAATGTCGTACATGTTACTATAGCTGCCTACTGAGATCATTTTTATCATTTATTTTGCAAATGATATGTTGATTATTCTAAAACTAAGTTACCTATGAATTTGTTTTTATTCGTCTACATTCATTATTATGGTTGACATTTTTAAATCGAAGTTTCCTAAATGATAGTGTTATCTGAACCTAGTTAACCACGCACGTCAACCAGTAGTGCTCACTAGCTGACTCATAATAACCTCAACATCAGACAGTCATCTTGCTCCATTGAAAAATAACACATAAGCCATGTACATGGCCCAACTCTGACTAGAGAATCGAAGCATTTCAAACCACAAGGAATTCTGGTTAATGATAATACTTGCACGACTGCTTGACATCAGTGGTTCCCGAATTCTCATACCCCATTCAGTGGTAATATATACCACAATGATTTTCTTGATTCTCATTTTTGTTATCAAGAAGATCATGTTTTGTGATGTGTCATAACTTTGGGTTTCCAAAGAAAATTGCGCTGAATTTTCATCTAAACCTGTATAACTGGAAAGCTGTAAATTCGATAATTCTCAGAAGTTGCCTTCTGTTTGATATTAATGTGCAAGAAATCTGTTCGTGAATAAACAACAGTCATAACTAATAATAATAATGATAATAAATTTTCTTAGGTGAAACAGAATCTAGGAGAAATGTACAAGAAAATGAAGGTTGTAAAAAAAGCAATCTCTTACATGTATGTACTACTTTTAAGAAAGTTTTAATAAAAACCCAACTAGTTGAAACAAAATTATGAGAATAACAACATACTTCAAGGTAATAATGTCCAGTAATTGGGTCCATTGCTTGTTGACTAACATATATTTGTGTTTTTGCAGTTTGTTGTACAGGTAGTCGAACAACTGACGCACCATTTGGAGCCCTCATGTCGAAATGATCAACTTGTCCTGGTAAAAATCTTCCAGTCATATTAACCATAATGTAATTTTGAACACCTAAAGAAAATATTACAAATGAAAACTTTCTGTTGGCATAGCTGTGTGACTGGTATTTGGAAGTAGTGTACAGTTTCAATGAATAAGGCAATGTGAAATAAGCACTATTAAGTATGCTTAATAAAAAGATCTACCTAATCATTTGTGTGGAATAATATCTGTTCCATTTTAGGGGAGGATTGTTATGTCTTGAGAAGATATCTAGCCACCGGAGACCTATCTTAAAATATTCAAGAGTAGACTAGATTTTTCGATCAATTTTGAGTATACAAACCGTATGTCAGTGTGTTAGTACAGCATCTAAAACATTTTGCTTTTTGGTTACTGGATTTCATCATGAGCTGACACTGGTTACAGAAGCATTGGAAAACCTGGGAGTACTGGTTTTGAAAGCAGTTAAAGTATTCGTTACGTGTATCGCTTTAGCCACTCGAGGATATGAAGAATGAGTCTAGGAATAGGACACCTGGGTTATGTTAAAGTCACAAATTGAACCACTCTTAATAGAAATAATACTCTTATGACTGCAGACAATCCTTAGCAAGACTTAAAACCTAAATGTAAAGCTTCTGAGTACTTTCTTGATCTGTCTCAGGATTTATGAGTGGTGAGACTTTGTAAATGTAAACGAATCTGTTTCCTCACTCCGCTTTTATTTTTTCAGCCGACAGTATATCGTTTTTATAAAGCTTTACGATTAATTATCACATACTGTTCTTCCTAGTTCGGTATTGTTTTGTGGTTTTAAACAAACCAAAAATAAATGTTTTTGCAGAGCAAGGTGGTACTATCATCTATTTCGTCGGTTTCTCATCAGCTGAGTAGAGCCCAAAGAAATTATTAAGCTTATGTATACAAAAATCTTGATGTCTTTTCAAATGTTACACGATATCATTTGATAGGAGACTCCAAACTTTAGCAAGCAGTGATCAATAACTACATTTAAATAGCTTATACACAGGAAGTTCAAGTTTAAATTAAAAAAGCGGCAGTTATCAGTCTTTTCTTGCCCTGGTAACTCAGTTTCTTTACTCTATCTCTTTTACCTGACTATGCTATGTCTGACTTTAATTTCTCCTCCCATTCCCTTCATTATAGTGTAACTGTGCCTCTTCCCTTGTTTTTATGATTTCTGCTGAATTCACCACATTGGTACTCAGTTCGTTATTTACTCATTATCTTGTTCACCTATTGTCTTTGTTACGCAACCCTTCCCAATGTATCCAAATATTTGTTTGAATTTGAACTTTATGTGTGTAAGCTACATAGGTGTAATTTCTGAGAACTGTCATTTGTATTTGGAGTCTCCAGTTAACTGATATTAGGTAACATTTGCAAATTTGCTAAAATCATTCTGTACATAAACTTAATAATTTCTTTAAACTGTCTGCAGCTTTTGAGAAGCCAACGAAATAAATGATGGTGGCATCTTATTCTGCCTTAAAAACTGCGTTTCTTGGCATGTAAACGAAAATGTTTCCTATACTATATATACTCAGTTTCTCAGTGAATAATTGTCCAATTTAACATAATAACGGAAAAAGTTATTGAACAACATATCATCAGTAAATTGCATCATATATAAACTCTCTGTAAATGCAGACCTATGAATTGATCAATGTCTATTGGTAACACAGTTGTCGTACAAAATGATGCACTGTAGTATGATGGTAAGTGTAAGGCAAAGTAATTTAATTTCTGAAACCTAAAGAAATGAGTGGCAAATCTCTGAATTGGGAACTGGGTCATAGAAATCCTAATCCCTAATGGAATGTAAGCATCCTCAGAATTTAAGACGTGCTGTGCTAATGAGTGTTAACAAGCAGGTAGTGAACTATTACTTGCCATCATATTTAAATAAATATATAAATATATTAGACTTACCTGCTATTGGTTGTGTTGATGCTCCATGGTTATGCAGTCTTGGTGTTGTCGAAAATCCCTGAAGAAAGTCGACATCACTTATACCAGAAACCCGAACAGAAATCCACCGTTCTGATTGTTTACTCTCATCTGGTTCATCCAAATCAGCCTCCTCTGGTTCTGTGCCCACTTCTAAAGTCCACTGACCAGCCTTAGGTCGATCAATTGAACCAACAAATACAGACTTAACAGCTTTCATCAGTTGTTTGAGACCATCTTCCTTGCCGATTAGCTTACCTGAATAAAATGAATGAAAAGGCGTCAAAATATTAAAGTTGTTGGTGAAACTGCCTAAGACAAATCCATTTTAAGTGGACTGGTGTAAACCTTATGGGATACTGACTGAATTTGAAAAGGAATCTGGCATTTTTCGCCAAATTCGGAGCAGTAACATCCCATTTCGTCCCAGATATTAGTTTTAGTCTTAATCATTAATATAACCAAAACGTCTATATTGGAAATATGAGACATGTGCGAATTTCATTTCGGAACCTACGGGCCCATGAGCGTGTCAAAAATTTAGAAAATAAAGTCAAAACAATTAAGCAGTCATATATTTATTAACTGTAAGCAGAATCGTGTTCCAGTAGTTGAGCTTGTGAGCAAAAGTTCCTGAGTGTGAATCCCAGTGAGTGCGAACAGTTAAGTTCTAAACTAGTACACCAAAAAAGACGTAGAGCTCAAATAACATTTTTTCTGATTTATGCATAACTCTTACGATGATTCTGTGGTTAATCATAAAGAATTTTCTTGTCATGCTATTTCAGAATAAATGAGCTGTTCTACCAGAAATGTAACTGACATAACAGGTCAGATAATTTGAGTTAAAATATGGCTTCTATCAACCTATTCATATGCAAAAATTTGTAAGAATAAATCACTTTGAATTTCCTTAAACTAAAGCTTCAGTATCTTACAACAAATCTTATTTTAAAAAATTATTTTTTCCATTTACCTTCAGGATTACGTATTTTTACATGAATTGCCTGATTTCTATGATGATTTGTAACATGAATAGTTAACTGGGTAAGATGAGAGTCCACAGGGAAACTGTAGGTCTTTGCATCGGTATTGAGTGTATCTTGTTGTAGAATATGCACTTTTCTTGCTTCAACTGCTGCTTCAACCACTTGCATGAACTATATTGGAAAGTAAGCAATTTTATTATAAAATTCCATTTACGTAATAAGGAAATCATGATATAAAAGAATGTCATAATTCAGTTTTTAGTTTTATAAAGGTCTGATTGATTCCAAGGTTGTTTTCGTCACGAAAACATAATCATTTCATGTGGCAGTATAACTGCATCATGAAGTCAGTAGGATTCCGTAACTGTTCAATTTAAATCGAGTAATTCAATGACTGTGTAGTCACTTTGAAACCTAAAGATCTAAGGTTTAGTCACTCAAGAACAGAAAGTTTACGCTACTAGAGACTCCTGAGCTCCTGAGTTCGCCGAAAAGAGTAACCCTTCGCTGAACGCCTTTTCTTTTACATGACTCCATTGGGAATTTTTAAGTTGCTCAAACATTCCAAGGACCCGGTCACGGTGGAGGAGCTGAACAGTTTCTTGAGTTACTCTATCAAGCTTGCAGTAGCGAAGACAGAAATACAGTTCTTAAGAGAATGTTTAGATCAACATGAATATTCAAAAATGTACCGGAAGTCATTCAGACGCGATCATACTCATCCGAATACCAGAACACTCAGGCGACACACACTAAGCAGCATTGACACCATCCAATCACTTGTCTCTGAACTAGAAAGAAACGTCGACTTACGAGTTCATGCAATCTGTGATTTAGATCAAGAACTACGACAGTCATTCGAAGAATATAACCAAGAAGTCACGCAGAAACGATGTGATAAGATCAAGTCAAATCTAATTGAAAGCCTGAAGTCGATGAGTAATACCGAACGTCCACTCCCAAACAATCCATAAAAATTTGTATTTAATCTCCCAAACATTTAATTCTCAACACTTCAACTAGAAGCACTATCCCTCGGTTCAAAATTCTGCTTGAAACCATTAAGCATCCGGAAGCTTCAGTCCCAGATTCATTTTGGACACCTGATAAATCAAGCATATGATCTATTGCAAACATCTGAAGAGAATCTGCAATAGTTCAAATTGTCAGCTTTTGACAGCTGCCATAAGTTGGCAAATATCAACCAAAAAGCACTGAAAAGTGCCTGAGGAATTAATAAACAACAAAGAAATCATTCTGATACATCCTGATAAAGCTGGGGGGATCGTATTCATGAATCATGAAGACTGCAAAAGTTAAATGCTGTCCATCCTATCCGACCAGTCCAAATTCACAAAACTAACCAATAAAAAGAACGTGAAGGAGCAAATTGAACAAAAACTTACGGATATTTTCCAAAAACTAAAAACTGAATCATTCATCGACGCTGAAACCTTCGAATCGCTGAGGCCGTCTGGCTCAAATATACCCCAACTTTATGGTTTATCGAAAGTGCACAAGATAGACATATCGCTTCGACCCATTCTCGATATGAATAATTCACCCTATCATCACAGTGTCCAACGGCTAGTAGACCTACTAGAACCAGTCAGAAGGCAAATTTCCTGCCAATCACTCCGAGATTCCTTCAACTGTGTCAATTCCATTGAAAACTTCAATGTTTCTAGTTAAACTGTGCTCTCAATAGAAGTGGTATCATTGTTTACAAACGTCCCATTAAGTGAAACAATATGCTATATATGTGAAAATATTGATTCAAAGGGGGGTGAACATTGGTTTACCCTCTGAATATTTGAAAGAGCCCCTATTTGGATGCACTCTAAACGTCAGATTCTCTTTAAATAACTAAATATATCGACAAAAAGATGATACAGCTATGAGTTCACCAGTTAGCCCGTTGACTAGGGACTTTTTCATGCCAAACTAGGAAACAAACATCTAATTAAAATGGTTAACAACTTTAGGTTTTACAACAGATAAGCGGACGACACCTTCATTATCTCCAACAATGGGAAGAATTTGGATAATATCTTGGACTTCTTCAATAGCTGCCATCTAGCAATTCATTTCTCACTAGAGAAGGAATCTAACACAAATATATCTTTTCTTGATGTTCAATTGGCAAGAAGATGAAACATTAAAAAGATCCATCCACAGAAAGCTGACATGGAACAGACAACTCACTAACTTTCACAGTTGGGTGCACCTATATACAAAACAAAACTTGATTCGTTCACTGAGTCACAGAATCCGCAGTGTTTACAGCCCAGATACTATGGAAAAAGTAGTTAAACACTCTAAAGAGAATCCTCCTCGAAAATCGCCACTCAGAACGTTTCATCACAAAATCTATGAAACCCAAACCACCAAAAGCGCCCACACTCTCTTCTCGCAAAAAACGTCTCCACCTGGATCTACAATTCAATACAGACTTATCAGCAAGAATACTGAGAAACGCCTGTTCCGCTTACTGAAGAAAACCTTCTTCGCGGCTGAACTTCGACTTACCTTCTCTACGGAACCAATAATTCGCATAAATGCGAAGGATAAGCTTGCATTGTTGGCCTCATCAGTTTACACCTACCAATTCACCTGCTCGTTCGGAGCCGGGTATATTGGCCGAACATAGAGTTTGCTATCTAAACGTGTCATCAAACACTTGCGCTCATGGTTTTATAAAGGAGAAAAAAGACCACCCTTCAGGTGCATACTAGAACACTTGGTCGAAACTGGCCACCGAGTTTGCCCACAAAACAACTTCAAGGTCATCTACAGAATAAGCGGGTATCTTGCAAAAAGATTATAAATCAAACTTCTTCAAACTGCAGAAGCAATGGCAATTCACATATTAAAACTTGAACTCTGCATCCAAAAGAAGTTTGTTCAGTCATTAAATCTACCGTGGACCTTACCTATCTTAACACTAAATACGTAATTTTGTTTCGTCTTTTTTCTTGCTTGCTTGTTTCTTAATTGTATAATATTTTCTCCCCCTGCTCCTTATTATCACTACTGTTAATTTGCCTTTTATTTAATTTTAATGTTAGCTGAGCTCTACTCAACTACATCAATTAGATTACGTCACCCAACTTGCTTACTTAATCTTATTTTAGTTTCTAACCTGTCAACGAAATTTAATGTCTAAAATTTACAGTTCTAATGATATATCTTTCAAATATTGACTTTGTTGCTAAAATAATTAACTGTTTATATGCAATTGTACTTCTTGAGAATGATATCGCCTAAAACAGTAAATCTTCCTTCCTTTTCTTTGATTTTTATTACTTCTTCAGTTAATTCAAGATTCTGATGAAATTCATTTTGAAGTCAGTTACTCCTTGTTGAGTTCCTCGTACATGCAAGGGAGAACAAAGCAGTTAAGAACATTTGAATATCTTGGAGAAATGTATACCACCTCTTCGCTTAATCTCTTCATTCTAAAACCACAAGTTAAAAAGTGTAAGCTACTTTTACAGGCTTTATATCCAGTGCATTTGGCTAAGAGACCTAATCTAACAAACTGAATGAAATTTTAACTGATAACCACAACATTTATTAATCAATACCTACAAATAATGTCATTAGTGTCTTCTAATTTTTAACCTTCATAAATCCGAAGAAAGAGGTTATTTCAACCCAGGTGGTTTTAAAGGTTTATTGTAGATATAAGTGTATTTATGTGAATGCCACACTTAGAAAGAAATCGTAAAAAATATATAACAGTCATAGGAAAATATCATGTGTTTATTAACACAGAATTTCCTGGATCAAGCGTGTAAATACAATTATGACTACTCTGACGTTCATAAAAGTTTACATTCAGTTTCACCTAATTCAACATCAGCACGAGCTAAGATTACTGCTGTTTGAACTTTAGTGAAGCTTCGAAATTTCTCTGAAATTTTTTTTGGCTATTAAAAGCTTTCATGGTATGAGTTTATCCCTTTAAAATATCATGAAACGTTCGTTAACGCCAAAATGAAGGTTGCAGAATAACTAATTTTGAAAATTAGGTGGTGTTTGAATATGAACAAAATTTTTATTGTGACAGTAGCATAAAATACATTTAACTTTTCTTTTTTCGATAAAAATCTCTTTAATAAATCTCTTTAATCTCAATTTCACCTTTAGGCATAAATCCGACCTATACAAACTGGTTAGCACTCACGAGGTGTGCAACATAGATGGCAGTGAAATAGAAACCAAGTCGGAAATTAAATATCTTGAGGTCATTCTATCTACTGATCTTTCCTGGTCGTCTCAGTTCTCGATGATTTCTAAGAAAATATTCCGTCTTACCTTATACATCAAGAAGTTAAGACATTATGGAATAACCCAACCCTTACTCCTACAATTCGTTAACTCCCGCATTCTGCCTATTATCCTCTATTGTTCCCCCCTAATTTTTCCAGGGCTACTGAAGAAAAACTATGCCTTATTACGCAGGATGTTAAAGGTTGTCAGCAGGGTAAGCAACGTGCCACTTAACCAGCTTGTTAATACTCTGGTCGACAGGCACTTGGGCTCATGTGAAAAATGGGCTAAATCCATTCTATCTATCTAACTCACACCACCCTCTTCATTCACAACTCTCCCCTTGTATCTCATCACGCACAACCAGAAGCCTATATAGAAAACTATATGCTCGCATTAGTAAGTAGAAAAACTCAACCATACCCTACTTAGCTCGTGTTCTGTGCGATAAAGAAAGCATTAGGCGTGATACCTACAACTTATTAAATAGTCAGTAGAACAACTGGGTCTCGTCTTTTCAACTCATATCATTTATATGTATAACGTTTTCTTTCTTTCTTTTCCTTTTCTCTCTTTTTTTCTGTTATGTGCTGCTTTGTTCCTCTCTTCCTTACAAACTCTATTTATAACATTCTTATTCGTTCTTTCACACTTTGTATATCTCGACTTTTATGTTAACGCTTACGCCAGTAAATATGGTAGTAGTAGCTACTTTTCTAACACCTTCAAACACTCTGTTTAATTCTGGATTTGCTACTGACGTGCCAATATGTTGTTGTCATAATGAACTGAAAATACTTTAATCTATGTGGAATCTTATTTATTGATAATGTACTAACTGGATGCAATACTGTAGTAAAATACTGAGAATTCCATTCTGTATCACAAGTACTGTTTTGCAATAAATCAAATTATTATTATTAAAATGCTTTCCTGAAGGAGATTAAAGTATACCGGAAATATCTCCTCAACTTATTACAGAAGCTCGATGCACTATTTGTTTCCAATTATCGTGAATATATTGAGATAATAATGGATCTTGGGCACTACGGTAAAGTATAACTGCACTATAGAGTGTATTTTTTTTTACTGTATGTGAATTTATCAAATAAATTTACTCTGTAATAGAATCCCGACGACACTGTATTCTGACATTCACTCAGAGTCTTAAAATAATGAGTTATTTAAAACATTGTTAAAAACCTTGTTTCTCTGTTTCTTGAGTTAAGTCCTACAGCGTCTATATACACAGATTAGTGAATATAACAAAAACTTGATTCCTATGTGTGTATGATGGATTGTTGAAGTAATCATCCAGAAGAGGTGTTTTTCAACCAAATAAATTAACATCAATTGCTCTAGTAGTCAGCCTTGTTTAAACAGTCAGTTGTAGTCGGTGATCACATTAGAGAGCATAGTTTTCGGACTTCAAATAGCAAAAGAGACAGAAATTTTCCACGGTGTTGCGTTCTCCTAATTGGGTGAGTTTAATCATGAAGATACTGTTGATATCCTAATTAGAATTGTTACCATTAACTTTAGAAGAATGTGAGCTTGGTGAATCTCCCCACAAGTACTTTAGTAATTCGTCCTATTCAACTTAAGGCTAGCTGATTATTTCTGCAATTTCATTATCTTTATCTCTGCTTGTATTTCCATTGACAGCTCTGTTACATATTTCACATGAATTCAGTCTGGGAAATGTAAATTAGTGAATAAATGAACCATTCAGAATGTGGAAATCGAAATTCGACATTCAGATCAGCCATTGATCTCGTCTGTGGATCAATCAGAAGCAAATTAAATAAATATTTTTTTATTCATATGCACTGATCTGAGTGCATTTTAATTACGCCGCTTAACTGATAATTCATGTTTTAAACAACCTCACAATAGAAGCCATTTTCAAAAACTCTACAAAAGAAGCAACTGACAAAATTCAAATCAATTCAAAATCAAATTCATTTTCAACTTACTTCATTAACTTGTCCTTTGCCAATAATGTACAGTTGACCTGAACTCACAGTAGCAATTTGACGGTATGCTTCAAATCCTGGTTCATCAGTTGTATTACAGAATCCAGTTAGAACAAATACAACCTTTAAAAAATATTTAAAACAGTACTCTAATAGCAAATAGGAAGAATAAGTGCAATCGGCTGCTTAGGTTAAAACACATAGTTTGATAAAATTTCAACTCTTAAAAAAGGCCTTCAGTGATAGTTGTCCTCATTGCTTCTAAGTTTATTTATTTTTGATTTTTTTTATTACAGCTTGATTCCACGCCGTATTTTTGGTACAGGTATGGAATTTTCAGCATGTGATATCGGTAGCTCAAATTTTGTAGGCTGACCATAGCTATCAGGTGTGGGTCGGCAGGGGATCGAATCCCGGACCATGTGCAAGATCGGCGAGCGTCATAACCGCTGTGCCACCAACGCACTAAGTACTAACGGACTCATAAACAACACAGGTAATCATCAACTGTCCAGTGTACTGCTAGTCAGATTAAACGTGTACAGATATTATGTAGCCAGTTATGTCGTTTTGGTTACAGATATTTTGTATTCAACCCGACAAAATTCCTTCATAACAACCTTGACAATACAACTGCATTACTCACGGATTCTACATGATTTAAACTACCACTAAACATATAAATGATTTCTATCTATTTATTATTTTGTTTATTCAGTAGTGTGTTGCACTAGCTCATAACCTTTCCGCATAAGAATTTTTTTTAAATGTACATAGCATGTGCGATGAGTGTTTACGGACAACTGCATACAACTTTTGGCAAGGGTGTTAGCAAAATGAATGAAGTTTCTCTGGAAAGCGGCTATTGTTACTTGTAAACAGCTGAGACGTGATAAATGTTCGTGTAGGGCATAGCGTTTGTAAATAACTTTCTAATATCGATCGGAAACCGTTAGTCCTAAATAAGGTTGTTTTGTTTTCAGATTGACAAAATACAAGCCTTTGAATGTTTAAACCGTTGTCTAAACCTAACTACATTACAATTATTAAAGAAAGTTGGAAAGCAGACTTAAGGTTTCAGAGTAAGAATATTGACTTCATAAAACAGATGTGATGTTCAACATAACGCTTAAGAGTCAGATACCTGAATAAGTCATCCATATTACTGCACACATAAACTGTACTGGAAATTTTAACACTTTAACATGAAAGTGGAGTGTAATACTACAAAGTGTTTTAGGAAAGTGCCATATTTACAAGAGTTTAACATAGTGACTAGTTTAACTAATCATCATGACCCATAACTTTTGGTTAGATATACTTTTACCGGGAGCCCACTTACTATTAAGTCTTCTGAAAGGAAAATATATCCCTACAAATAATAAAATCACTACTTAATGTTGTTAAAGCTTCACAGAGTCGTGGTAATGGTCATTTGAAACTCAAGACACTGACTTGAAATCTGTCCCAATTTATCTACTAAACAATATCGTTTCATTTTCTACTAGCACTTCGATAAGCATGTTTTTTTTTCTTATACACTTTTATTTGACATCGTCAACTTTCCGGGAAAAGTAGCTTCCATACAAAGAAAAATAACTCAGGGACATGAAACAAAGTATTGAAGTCGTTTGGGTTTGTTGGTGGTCCAATGGTAGGTGGCTTATCAAACGCTAGGGAGGTCCAGGTTCAAATCCTGGACAACATGCTTTGAAACGCCACCTAGTTCACGAGCTAATAATAGGCTCAGAAAAGAGGAAACATTTAGTTTGAGGCTAAAAGCCACACCCCGTAAAAATATCACCACCACTACTTTAACTTTAGATCTAGAAGCCATTTAGAATTACATGGTTCAAGGCTGAAATTCACTCTGATTTCTTTCCTAAACCCAAAACATTTCATCCGTATTATGCCATAAAAGCAAGCGACCCGATAAGATGGTATACACTACTGCTATCACCTCAAATGAGTAGTTGGAAACGAATCATATCAAACAGAGCTGCTTGCTGAACAGATCAAAGTATCTTAAACAGCGTTTTGGACTGGCATCACCCGGTTAGAAGTGGTTAAAAGATCTGATTTATTTCAAGCCACCATGTAGCTGACCAGGATTTGGCTGGTTTCGCTCTGTAAGCTAAATCATCCTGAGTGTTCGGCTGAAGAGCATGACGTCAAACGAGCGAAACAGCTTTCTGGTGCTTGTATCACTTCACTCAAACAAGTAAGTAGTACTGGTTACTATCAGTGGATTCTGACTCCTTGTATCTAATATCTGTTCGTAACGTTATTCTGTATCCTAGACAGTGTTAAAGTCTTGTTTGTACATGGGAATTTCGGTGACAGAAATACTCAACTGTATGGATATCACACTGAAATTAAATATGAAAAACAGAGTTCCAAATATTTGAAAGAACAACGACACATTTGGTGGATGGTGATGAGCAGTGGAATTCAGGATGGGAATTTCGTCATGTTTAGGACTCGTCATCCGGATGTACCTTTATTCCGTAGTAAGTGATCATGTTCCCACTGGGGATCGAACGCGGTATCCATCATTTCAAAATCGAAAGCGTTACCCACTAGACCGCTTGGGCTACGATAGCCACATCACGTGCAATGGGTGTAGGTGACCGAACATTTCGGTACAATTAACCAACAGGAAAATCAGCACTGAACTTAAAAAATAAATACATATAGTCAGTTCACTTACCTGACTTTGTTTTTCTTGAATTAAATTGAGCACTTTTTCAGTACGATTATAATCTTTAGCACTACTATCCGTGAATACATAAATTAAAGAATTAGGTCTTGACGCTTCCAGTGCTAGCTCAATGCCAGTAATCGTCATTTCTGGACAATCCCCACCACCTTGAGTATACACATTGTCTAAGTATTCATAAAATGTTTTAGTTGATGTAGTAACTTTTGCCGGGCCAACATCTGAAATTCAAAAAGGCAATAAAGAAAATGGTTTAAAAGTTATGAATACCCTTTTTCTAACAATCTGTTTTTCTAATAGCGTAGTAGCATAGTGCATCTTCAAATTATGAGTGAGAATATTTTGATTTCTTATCATACATAGAATGGTATGTCATTCTAAGCCATAATACATATTCATTTCTGAAATCAATTATCTTGTCAGAATAGAGTAAGTGTCCTTTGGATTGATAACAGTTAGACGGATAAACTCTGTTTATTGAGTCATCACTTTCTTGATTGTAGATATAAGGAGTCAGTTTGCACTAATTCACGGGCCTAGGTTTTGGGACTATCGGCAAACCATGCTGAATATTAGTTTCGTGTCTGTTAGCCTTGCAACTATATCTCATGACTAACTGGACTTGACAACCGTATCGGTTGCCGTCAGACGACCCACACACATAAAGTGGGTTTTACTATCAACGGGTTTTAAACAAAATAAGTTATTTTATTATGAAAGAATGATATTAGTTATGAGTTTATAGATTGCTATTCACACCACGGATACATTTACATTAGTGCTAGATGGATATGAATTTCTTTTAGATATGTGTGTACCTTGATAGCTTGCTAAAAACCTTCGTCTCTGAATTGTTACTAAAAATCTAAAACTGCAAAATCAGTATGTTTTACTATTCAGCCATAGTGGACAGTACTGAGACTCGATCCCAGGATCCACTGTTTCAAATTCCAAAGCGCTACCTACAAGGTCATACAGCCATGAAAAGCACTGAGGAACACCATCACCCAACTGGGACACAAGTACATCCTAATAGGACAATTCATACGTCTTGGATTCCATTGCAACCCCTATCGACGTAAAAACATTTTACATATCATAAGGCATCGTAGAAGTATTCATACTAGGAGGTGGCATATCAATAATGTAAATGTAAAGGAAATACAAAAGAAGAATTTCAGCAAATAGTAACTACACTTCTGTTTTTATTATTTTCTTCTAAAAGGCAGATTCCTTCATGAGCATAAATCAGCTGCAGAAACGAAGAAAATCGTAGATGAGTAAACAAATATTCGGAATCCACCAACTGCAACAGCACATTAACTTGTGAGGGAATGAGTCCAAAATGATTAGTTTAAATGGACTCAGGATACCACCGAAACATTACTGAAATTTAATAACCCATGATTTCTCAATCCAGCTAATATGTGGTGCAGCAAAAATTACTGTTCAGTGTCATCATTTAGTGACTGGTTGAACACCTTTCCTGTTTGTACCCTTTGGTTTCTAATTATTAGAATCCTGGACGTTCCATTTCAAAACTGGGCAAAAGTAACTACCATTCTGCCATCCACCTGTGAGTAATTACTTGATTTGATGTTGAATTCCGTTATCATGTCGAAGGAAACCTCATAACAAAACTGACCATACTTTCAACCTATTTTGTCCAGCCGATTTAACTAACCACAGACACTGGATGAAGTGACAAAATAAACATGTGAATTAGTTATTTTGAAACTGTCACAAGATAAACGAACAGTCTACTATACTGACACTTTTTATTCACACAAATGTCTTAGTTTAGCAGACGACGGCTAACAAAGGGTGTTTAGTCTAGTTTCTAGTGTAGACGTGTGTGTGTGTGTGTATGCAAGATGGGGTGAGGGAGAAGGTGGGATGGAAATACGAAACTCAACTCCACAAATTAAGTAAATTATATTGTTTATAGGTTTAAGATATTAAAATCTAACTTAGTGAAAATTCTGCTTCTATTCCATTCCATTCGTATTTCTAATTTTAGTTTCTTGGGTAGGAAAAAGATATCCCCTGAATTTTAAAAGTTGTTAGGATACATATAAATCATTTTAAATATTTCTCTGACTGCTTTCATTGGACTGAATAGTTCGATGTAAGTTGACCCATCGGCTTCTAGCACGGACTCTTGACACGTGTTTGAACGTTAACATGATGCGTATTCGTTTGATGGTGAATGATGATGGAATTCAGGATGTGTTTCTTTTTCCTTTTTGGAATTAACTGCATCCTCCTTGAGTGATGCTGTTCTCACTGAGATTGAAATCTAGAACCCAGGACTTCTCACGCCAGATTAGTATCCTCTGGAAAACATCAAATATATCACTACCGGAAACGAGAAGACGATTTACAAACATGTGTTTGCTGTTACACAAGCAGGAGGATGCTCCCACCGTTTAATCTGGGATCGACAATGTAGATACTATGTCTGTAAGTAGACAAGCGCTGTATTCTTATTATTGCATAAATTCTCCAAAGCACCTCTTTGCTTTTAAAGAAGATTATTTGGCTGGGATATTAATTAGATGGCCTATGAAATAGATATACTTATATCTTTCATAAACTTTATCAGTAGTAATCAGTCGGTTTTAAAGATAATGTGAGCTAAGTGGATAATCATGTTTTTCAAATATTTTTGTTCAGTTATTTTTTTTTCGTATCAATAATTAAGTTACCTATTATTAAAAAAATACGTGAAAATAATGAAAGTAGTGATCTAGGATAATAGCGCTTTGATGGAGTCTTCCTTAACTTTATATAGATTTGCAGACTAATTTTATATTTAATGCACACTCTGACTGTGGTCTTTACTACTATTATAAATTTCTATTCCCCGATGACAACTCTTTCATATACGACAAACAGGATTTACCAAAAAAATAATTACTGAGTAATCCTGTTTGGTGGTTATTTTAAAACTTTGTTCTATCCTTCAGTAATTATCGTCTCACTTATCATTTTGATGATATTGGGTTTAAAGTTGTTCCGTCAAAGGTCACGGGTTCAAATCCCTATGAGTGCATACTTATGAAGTGTCCCAAACTAGGACGAAACAGCTATCCAGTAACCCCTAGTTTTCCAGTTGTCCTATGACTGACATCAGGTTGTGTTCGAACCTCTAACCAATCAAATTGCTTCAAACCAAACCTGAAAATTTCAGTCTTTCTTTAGCTGTCAACACTTAAAAATAATAAGTTTTTATAAATAAATATTAGGATACAAATCATTTCAACTACAAAGACGTATAAATATTGTCACCCCGATAACCGCAGAGTAAACAGGAATACAATACAGTTAGTGTCGGAATAATTTATTTATTTATACTTAATATGACAGAAAGTTCAAAAGTTAAGAAGAAAGAAAGGGAGTTATTAGATAGTACATAGGGGTAAGTAGACATGCTAAGTAAGAGCGAATTGGTATATAAACAATACCAGCACCGGTGGCACAGCGGTAGAATGCTCGCAAACCACGCATGTGGTGCGGGGTTCGATTCCCGGCCGACACACTCCTTTACGTCACTAAGCCAGTATTAATAAGTCTGGTAAAGATGGAAGGTTAGGCATTAGGCTAGCAGCCCCATCTTATAAAAATAATCACCACTGCTACGGAAACTTCAAGCCTTTAGCTCGAAGCCGTATGTTCCAATGGAAACGTGAATGAATGATAAAAAAAATATCAACAAACAAATCCTGAAACAAATAAGTAATCTGTAAATTATTACGTCACAACCTGATTTTGATTTCAACTCGCTGAGCAGAACTCATTATTAAGCGTTACAATTTATTAATTTGAAACAGTTAGTCCTATTGATAAACTTAAATGAGGCATTAAGCAGACATATCAATACATAATGTAAACATGACTGCATTATTTAATTTAATTTCATCTTATGTTCTTATTAACTATACACTGTATGTGGATTAAAGTGACGAAAAAAACTAACTTACTATCCATCTTATACTTGTATCTCAATAGATTTTCTGATATAATTCTAATTTGCCTTTACTAGCTATGAAATGCTAACATTAATGCATTTCTAATTGTAGAGCCTTAAGAAGAATTTATTGAAAACATCTGTTCATTCTAATTATCCTGTATATATATATATATATATATATATATATATATATATATATATATATATATATATATATATATTCACCCCATGTATTCCAACTCCCTTCCTCTCCCTTTAACTCTTGAACTTTCTGTCATATTATGTTTAAATAAACTCTCGTTGTTTAATTATTTCAATACTGTCTTGTATTCATGTCCAGTGTTGCACTGCTGTGCTAAAAATTACTAAATGCCTTTTCGGTTGAAATAATGTTAATTTTACATATTTACATTTATTTATAGAATTGAATTTGATTTTCAGCCTGTTAACAGTAGTAAAATAAAACGTATACTTTCTCTTCTGCAAATATTTTCCTTATTGTATACTTGTATTACTTGTATTCACATATCGTCACTTAAAAAGGTCACTTGTGAGCTTTTCAGATATCACTACATCAAGTATTATTATTGTGATAGTTTTCAAGACTTACTATTTCCCTTTAGGATGCACAGCTCTACATAATTTATTATTAATCAACATTAATCTATGACCCAAAACTGGTTTTCACGAAATGAGTCATTGAAGAATAAAATTTCGAGGTGAGCCTAATAAGCAGCAGACAGAATAGAGTGTATTGTTTGCGAAATAACAATATCATCATTAGATGGTTGAAGACAGTCACTAAGATGCCATGGGATCTAGATTTCATACTTACTGACATTTGTCAACAACGCCTGTCTAAGACTTCTAAGGAATTGATGTTTGGTCGGGATACTAACTCGTAGAACTCAGTGCTGCAATTAGAAGCCTTCCACTACCGAGTACCACTATAGTAACGACATAAAAAACTTGAGTAATATAATTTGGTCAGAACCACTTAGGACTAGACAAATGTGACTGGTGACTTTCTAATGACTTATCAGTGTTAGTGGTGAAATCAGTGTATAGTTAATTATTTCCCTATATAATAGAAAAGATTTGTAGCTCAGGTGGATGATTTGCAATTAATAGTGTTCTCTGAGCTGGTTGGTGTAGTTGCTGAGCTTTCATCGTCCTTATATTTCGTCTTCATTATTCCTTGAATCTGCCCAATATAAAACTCAGCAGGATTTGTCATAACTTCTTATA